ATCGGAGGAGGGGATTATGAAGGAACAGGAAGTGGTCATATGCAGATTTGAATGGCAGACCATGCAGGAAAGATTACAGCATTCTAGGAAAACTCTGTTGTGAAGATCAGTATCCATGGCCCCCCCAGTAGGGACACTGATTCCACTGAGTAACGCATATAACCGAATAATAATCGATGTCAGCACCTGATAGGATGAGGTTCTTGATGGTGTTGGAGGAGGGGGCCGTGCGGAAGAAATGTGAGTAGGGAGGGTGGACTGTTGGGAAGGGTTAGTAATGCAGGTGGGTGCTTGATGAAGAGATGTAGAGGAGAAGAGGTGAGGATACTGAAAGAGGGGAAATAAGAAGGGAGAGGAATGACTTGTAGAGAAAGACTGGGTAGAAATAAGCTGGCTTGAAGAGTGAGGGAGGTTAGAAGGGAGAGAGATTTACGGAGGGTTGAGAGTGGAATGGATGACTGGAAGAGTAGGGCTGGAGTTTTCACTGGAATGTGGAGCTGGAGGCCAAGGGAGGGGGGTGGTAAGTCCGAGATTGGCGTCATTATCCGGTGGATTATCCATTTTATCCGTTTTGGAATGTTATGGTAGATGCAGTTTGTCTTGTTCTGAGGGATTGGTTTTTATTGCTTAACTTAGTTGCTTTTTTTAAGGTCAGAGGAGATTTTGTGAATGTGGAGCTGTGGTGGGTTAAGGATAGGGGATGTGGCGGGAGCGAGCGGTTATGCTGTCCTGAGGGGGTGGAGTTGGTGACGAGATGGTTTCATAGAGTTTTAGTAGTTTTGTTTTATTGCAGCGGCTGGGGATGGAGATTCCGGCATTTATGAGGGTCTGGTGGAGTTCGGTCATTGTTATCTCGTTGAAAGTGAGGGATGATGATCTTGCGGAGGCGCATTAAGAACCTGGAGAAGGTGGGTGGCGATTTGGAGTGGCAGGAGATGGGGATTGTGTCCTTGCTGAAGTAGAGCAGATAGGCCTTCGACCTCTTATTGGAGCGTTGGTAACGGGGCGGCTTCCAGGCTGAGCTTGGTGTTGTTGAGCTGGGGCTGGTGTTTCTAGCAGAGTAGAGATTTCGTTCCTGTCCATGTTGCTGTAAATGATGTGAGAGTAGATTTAATGCTGCTATTTCTTATTTTCGCTGTTGTTGTATTGCTGCTGTTGTTGATTTGTCATAGTCAGATGATGGTAGTAGAATTGTTGATGGGTTGTAGAGAGATGTTAAACTTTAGAAGCTTGTGAAGGAGCTGGCGCAGTCCTGTCAAGAGCTTTCATCGGAAAACGAAGATAAGGGAGTTATTTTTTGCTAGGCTTCTTATTATGAGTTTGGATTAATCTGATTGGCTAACTAAATATTGTAGATGAGAGACCAGCTGTGGTCAATCATATCACGTGCTCCTCTCAAAATTAGTTTGTGAAACTTCACTAAAAGTAGGCTTCCATTCAGACTTAATTGTTGATAACAAGAATTCAATTGTTGATTTCAACAACTAAATTGCTACTAGTAAAAATTGGTTTGTCCTTCACACACTTCTCCTTCACTGTTACATCCTCTCTTCCCTCACACACACATTTCTCACTTCTTGATGTAAATAGTGCAGCAAAAACACTCTGTTCCAATATACATCCTGCCTAGGTGAGATCTTGCCTGTCGCCACCAGCCCAACGCCCCTACTCCCTCTAACCCCTGGCTGTCGGATGGTCTGGGAAAATAGTTAGTTTTAGGGTTAGGACATGTTCTGTGATAACATTGAACAGCACCCAGGGCAACAGAGAGAGCATGGCACAAATCAAAAGCCTCCACTGACCTTCTTAGCAAGTACCAAAGCCAGCTGGCATCATTAGCCTCCCAACTCCATTCGGCCAAAACCCCATACTACCATTACAAAATTAACACCACTTCAGACGTCCACAAACTATTCAAGACATTTTATACTTTGCTCTGTCCTTCTCCATCAACTCCTTATCAGCTGGCCTCCTTCTTTACACAAATAAACACTCAAATTAGCAGTCAAACAGCACCCTCTGAAGAAAAAGTCAATCTCTTCCTTCACTCCACACTGGCACATTTCCAAACACTTTTAAGCAGATGTAATGAAGGCCAGCTAGTGAACTGCTTACTCATCTACATACATCACCTTCCCTGCAACTCCACACATTCAATACTATTTCTCAATCAAGCTGGGATCATCCACCATTACCCCATGTAGTTGGGTAAGAAATCTTAGGGTGATACTGGATGATCAGTTGTCCTTCAAAGAGGACATTGCTAACACAGCTCCATCATGTAGAGCTGCACTTTTCAACATCAGAAATCAGACTCTTCTTAACAGATCATGCCACGCTGCACAACTTTTAGTGCAAACTCTTGTCATTTCAAGGCTGGATCCCGACAGTGCTCTTCTAGCTGGATTCCCATCCTGCACCCTTAATCCTCTACAGATGCTCCAGAATGCCGCAGCTCATCTGGTCTTCAATGAGAGCCCATGTAACTCCTCTCTTTATCTCCTTGTATTGGTTACCGCACGAGGCTCTTGTCAAGTTCAAATCACTGGCACTGCACCCTCTTACCTCCACCTACAGCTGAAGGTCTACATCCCCTCTAGAAGCCTCCAATCTGAGCTAAAAATCACTTTTCAAAACCTTTTCATTGACTGTTTCATGTTGAAGGAATGTCTTCTTGTAACATTTGTTGTACAATAGTAACAAACTTACAATATATTTTACCACATGAAATTACCAAGCAGTATGTTAATGACTTACACTGAGCATAATGGTATGGGGCGTGGGCCTGCCCTCTATGGCAACTGCTCATTAGAAGACAGTGCCATTGGGATGGAGCAAACCAGATTATTTTAAAACTTGATTTTTGCATTAGCTTGCTCATGCTCGCTGCTGCTCTCTGCCCCCTCTCGCCTTGCTTTCGGTCAATGCACAGCCACTCAATCAGGTCGCAAAAAACTTTCCATGAAACCTCTTAAAGTTTAGGAACCGCCGAAACTGCTAAAAAAACTTCTGCAAACCGACTCTCAGCAGAGTTTGTCACCCCGGTATCCCAGGACAACTTCCACTCACAAGCGAGTGAATCTCAAGGAAGTCACTGAAGCTGAGTCACCAATCCATCAGGAACACCATGTTTTGTTGAGGCCAGTCGGCGAAGGAATCTCAAACAAATGTTGTCTCTTTCTCATCTGGTGCAAATTGATCTTAAGCAGATGAAGATAAGTCAAATCTTTGCTTTTGTGGTTTCTCAGGTGGGATTCTAAGATCTAGTAATAAGAGATTAAATTAATTTGGGACGGTTGTCCACTCATTTTGCACAAGCACCACAATTGAGAACCATTGCTCTGATAAGATAAGCATTCTAGGTTGCATAGGAGTACATTGCAACAGCCAGTTGATGAAAAAGGGTTGGGGCTTCCTGAGCATTTATTTCATTATTACACCTTCAGTCTGAGACATGTCACTCACAAGTCCATGCCTCCTGAGAAAGCTCCATCTCGGTTTATGGTGGAACAAGCCATCCTACTTACCCTTCCACCACTACAATATATATATCTATTCATCTATTTATTTATTTTATTTTGTTAATGTGTTATTTAAAATATAAAAAAAATTACTGACAGAATTTTAGGTGCAGGCTAGGACTGTCTCTGCCATTTGCAGGTAACGTTGTCCTTTTGGCTTCATAGGATATGGACCTTCCACATGCAGTGGGACGGTTTGCTGCTGAATGTGACATGGCAGGGAAAGAAACAGCACCTCTAGGTCAGAAACCAGGGTGCTTGACGAAAAAGGTGGCCATCTCCAGATTGGAGGAAAGTCCTTACCCCAAATGAAGTTCAAGTATCTGCGTTTTTTTTTTTTTTTCATGAGCAATGGAATGTAAGATTTAAAGATGGATCAGTGCAGCAGCAGCAGTAATGTAGTTAATGTGATTGTTGTGTTGAAGGAGCTGAGACAAAAGGCAGTGTCCTACTCTCACCTATGGTCATGACTGAAAGGAAAAGATCTTGGACGCAACTGGACACATTTTACAAAAAGTGTTATGCTTGTTTGAGTCCCAACATAAAAGAGAGACGAGCCAACAAAATAGCCTGAATGCAAATTATTTATTATAAAATGTAACTCATAGAACAATCAATCAAAGCAACCAACAAATGTTTAGGGATAATAATGAAGATAAAGACTTAGGATATAAATCACAACAACACATAAGGTTAAAGAGTCAATGAGATGGCAGGTCTTGACATGATGACTCCTGAGAAGCCACAGCGACCTGGAGTAGCTAGCACAACAACTTTTTATATACCCATTAATGAGTAATGCAGGCAATCTGGAGTTTTGGGATCATCACAGTATATTAATATTGTAAAACTGAATACCTGTCGGTCTGCCCAAATCATAAAATATTCATCAAGATCGTATTCTACTCAAAAAAGTAAATGTAGTAAACTAAAAAGAATCTTGAACCTAAAAGTAAAGAAACTTTACTAATAAAAGATGCAACACAGGACAAATGAATGGACTTTCTTCCTAGTGATTTTTCTCATTCAGGGAGTCAGACAGAGAACATCATCCAAAGCAACACTAGCTACATGAATACACTGGAGAGTGGAGTACAGATGCATCCAATCTTCTTCTGTTTTCAGGTGTGTTAACTGATTAAACCTCTTGTCACAGTGTGAAAACTTGTACGGTCTCTCCAGTGAGAATCGTCTGGTGCAGTTTTAATTTGAGCTGTAAGAATAGTCTTCTCACACTTAAGCACATATACTCTCTCACATCACTGTGGATCTTTATGTGTTCATTTAGGTTTGCTGATCTGTTGAAACTCTTCCCACATTGAGTTCATGTGAATGGTTTCTCTCCAGTGTGGGTCTTCATGTGTTTATTAAGGTCTGATGTGTTGCTGAACTCATCCCACACCGAAGCTGCGGTCACAGTAGTTTGAGCATGCAAAATTTTGTTGTACGACGCTGTGAAAAGGGGCAGGATTAAACAACATGATTAAACATGAATGGTTTCTCTCCTGTGTGGCGCATCATGTGTCGATTAAGGGACGATGAGTGGCTGAAACTCTTCCCACACTGAGTGCATGCAAATGGTTTCTCTCCAGTGTGGATCTTCATGTGTTTATTAAGGAGTGATGAGCAGTTAAAACTCCTCCCACACTGAGTGCATGCAAATGGTTTCTCTCCAGTGTGGATCTTCATGTGTTTATTAAGGAGTGATGAGCAGTTAAAACTCTTCCCACACTGAGTGCATGTAAATGGTTTCTCTCCAGTGTGGATCCTCATGTGTATATTAAGGGATGATGATTGGCTGAAACTCTTTCCACACTGAGTGCATGTGAATGGTTTCTCTCCAGTGTGGATCCTCATGTGTATATTAAGGGATGATGATTGGCTGAAACTCTTCCCACACTGAGAGCATGTGAATGGTTTCTCTCCAGTGTGGATCCACTTGTGGTGATTAAGGTGTGATAAACAGCTAAAACTCTTCCCACACTGAGTGCATGCGAATGGTTTTTCTCCAGTGTGGATCCTCATGTGTATATTAAGGGATGATGATAGGCTGAAACTCTTCCCACAATAAGTGCAAGTGAATGGTTTCTCTTTAGTGTGGATCCTCATGTGTTGATTTAAGTTTGATGATTGGCTGAAACATTTCCCACACTGATTGCATGTGAATGGTTTCTCTCCAGTGTGGATCCTCATGTGTAGATTAAGAGATGATGATTGGCTGAAACTCTTCCCACACTGAGTGCATGTGAATGGTTTCTCTCCAGTGTGGATCCTCATGTGTAGATTAAGGGATGATGATTGGCTGAAACTCTTTCCACACTGAGTGCAGGTGAAACGATTCTTGTCTCTCCTTTTCAAAATACCATCAGTCTGTAAATGAGTTTTTTCCTCAATTTTGACATGATGTTCCTCCTCTTTACTCCCCTCATTCTCTTCAATTAGGTCTGAAATAAATAAATAAAATTTTAGTTTTCATTAAGTCTTAAAAACTCTCATCAAAAGCTGAATAGTGAAAAGACACTGGAAACATTGGCTACACACACTGTCATTTTCATGCACATTAAATGTAAAATATATAAGATCATGTTTTGTTCGGTCCATTAACATGTTCATATTTAAGCACATTTAATTCATCTTTATTTATCTAGTGCTTTTACAATGTAAATTATGTCAAAGACGCCTAACATAGAAGTTTTAGTAAATTGAAACCGTGTCAGTTCAGTTTTCAGAGTTCCTTACATAATTGATCATAAAAGTCTTTTTGGTCATTGATAAGACACAGATTTGAAAGCTGTAAATGGCCTAATTTTATTCGTATATATTCATAATAACAAAATGTTTTTTTCTAAAATGTGTAAAGCAGACAGGAAATACTTGTTTATTCTTTGCCTGAGTAGTAAATGCATCAGAAAAAAGTTCTGGGGTAAAAGCTAAAAAAACAGCTGAATATTTGCCTCACAGACATGAGACACACCTGTACAGCATCTGCCTAAAGGCTGAAATATGCACCTTTCCCATTGTGTGCTGTTGGGTCTTTTTCATTAATTCTGGGGTGATTTTGAGGCTTAGTTTGGAAAAAAACTTGCAAAGCCATGACAGCATATAATCATGCATTTATGATTTTTGGTATTTCCTGTGACGACAGTCAACATTGTTTAATTGGTCTCCACCCATGGGACGGCTAAAAGGAAATGGGTGAGAGTATAAAAGAAGAGTAGAGTTGAAGAGGCCAGCATTATGTGGTGTGCGGAAGAAAGAGAAGTTGACTGAACTGTTGCATTGTGGGGACAAGTAGGGCAGGGGTGGCTGGCCGGTCAGAATCGGCAGGCTAGCGCAGAAGCTCAATTGAATATACTGGGGTAAAATAAATGCTCATATTACAAAGACATGGCGGGGAAAAATGTAATGTAATGCAGTGCTTCTTGTACAGATATCACTCAAGCAGTGGAGATTGCTGATTTCTAAAGAAAACAGACCTTAAACACGCAGATTTTTGCTTTGGCATAACTCAGGTTACTGGCAAATTAAAAGTCCTATTAGCATGCTTCGGCATATACCCTATTATTGCACAGCCAATTTACACAAACTGACTATAGAAACACTATTCTGGTTTTCCAACATCTGTAATGATGTGGGCCCACTTTGGTTACTGATGGAACAGCACACGTCTAATTCCGTGTCATTACGCTCACTACTTTGTGCTTTCATTCCAGTTTGTGGTGTTTGTTCACCAAAAATAAGAGTTAATGAAAAAAAAGAGAAAGTGTATTATTTTGTTCATATTGCTAAATGCTACTTTTGTTGTAGTTCAGCTGTAATTGTGTGTGTTCAGTACATATGCCTGATTGATTGTATACAGGGGGCGCTGCTGGGTTATAGGAGGTGCAGATAGTGAAGTGTGAGATAGTGGAGTGTGAGACAGTATCATGCTGCTGTAAAACTACTAAAGAATAATAAATCCTTTTTGCTTTCTTTAAGACGTTCTAGTGCCATGTTTCAGTAAAGATCCAACGTATTTCCACTACCGGACACAACACAGTTAGTAAACAATATCCTACGAATAACCCAGTTATTAATGGATCACTCAGAATATGGTCACAATTCAGACCTCACTTTAATAATAAACAAGCATTGCCTTCTGCTCCCATTTTGTTAAATCCATTATTCTCTTTCTCTCTCACAGTTTCAGCATTCCAATTATGCTTTAGGAGGGAGTTATCTGTGTTAAGGACCTGTTTAAAGATGCCATATTTATCTCATTTCAACAGTTAACAGACATTGAGATTCCCCAGTCAAATATTTTTACTATTTCAAATACTTTTTTCCAAAATAAACTTTCTTTAAAATAAAAAACAAACGAGCAAATGATTTTAAAGTTTTAAAACTAAAATAAACTAAATCTATGCGCAACAATCTGTCCAGGTCTATGTCCTCAGCAGTAAATCCATGGAGCACATTTAAACAAATGTTATTGTAAGCAAAATAATTAAACTATTATAATAAATAGAGTTAAAATGACCTTTTTGAATAAAAAGTTTAACATTTATTGAGATAAATTGTTGGTGATTGTATGGGTTTTGGCAAGATTATGTAACAAAACATGAACAAAGAAAAATAAAGACTTGTTTAAAAAAGATTTAAGACCTCACAACATTTCAGTAAATTTAAGACTTTTTAAGGTCTAAAATTTTAGATTTTGAAATTTAAGACATTTTAAGACCCTGCAGGTTATAGGGAATAGCCCTTGTAATTAGTTAATATAATTATGATGTCATTCTAACTCAGTTACTATCTGTGAGAACTAGTAACAACTTCTAGAAACAACTTTAAACCCATAAAAAAGTTGATTAAAAAAAGGGGAATTGTGATCAACGTGACATATGCAAATGGGAAGTACTAAGCCAACACTATCACTGTAATAGCAGATATCTTTTATGAGAATAGAATAGGTCAAATATTGTCAGCTCAGACAAACTTTTTAAATTGATTGTTTTTTATTTATTTTATATAGCGCCAGTGCTCATGGACGCTTTACAAACAGTTGGAGAACAAGAAATGCAATAACCTTAAGAAGGTAGAGAAAATGGGAGACTATTAAAACAGAAAAAGAATGACACGAGAACAAGTATGAAAGAAACTCATTCCTATCTTTCAATAAGTGCTTATGTGCATTTAGGAGAACTAGGCAGCACACTCAGGGCTGCAAGATGGATTTAATTTTGTATTCTTATTATTAAAATATATCTGAATGAGGATCAAATGACTGAGTTGGTTTTTGAGAATGAAAACCAACCTGTTAGTTCCTGCAGATCTTCCTGTTTGACTGTGAATGTTTCTTCAATCTTCACATCTTCACTCTCCTCTTTAATAAACGCCATCTTTATAACAGTGTGGAGATCAGTCGCTTCAGCAGGAGATTTCCTCTGTGTTTGGACACTTTATTCTGTTTAAAATAAACAAAACAATGAACAGAAACAAACTTATCTTTAACATTTGCTTTAAAAGTTTCTTTATATGAGAGTAATTAACAAAAACAAATCAGGTAAGTCTGAGCAAGAAACAATAGCCACAAATGAGCTGATTAAAACTAGTGACGTAACTACATGTCAGGATAAAAACAATATTTATAACCAAATAAACAAAAAACTGAATACTTGTAATAAAGCTTTTAAAAATGACGTTGAACAATGCATCCACACATATTTACATTTTATAATGGTAGCATTCAGATATTATTTGAGTGTAAATTCGATCTGTGCAACTCACCTTTTCCGTCTTCAATGAAGAAGTGGGATGAAAAAGGCCTCAGTTGGTTTTTCTTTGTAGGTTGTTGTTGGTAATAATCCCAATGTAGGAATCTACAATCGTAGTTTGTCCTCCAAAGTTGTTCTCTTACAGCTAAATAAGCCAATGAAGCATCTGTTAGTATCCCGGAATATATAGATGCAACCCTGCTGAGCTACTGGATCTGGAATGCGATTGGATAAGACTCAATTGGCCCCCATTAATGCTGGTATAAAGATGCAAATGAGCAGTGGAGAGCAGTGAAGACTCGACACACATTACTGTGGGGGATGGGAAGTTCAGCAGCTTTACAAACCAGTTTTACAAAGAAATAATGATGTATTGGGAAAATAAGTTGACTTTAGCCATCATCATTTGTTTTGTTGCTGTTGTTTTATAGGACTATTGATGGAAGCCTTTTTATTTTGGCTGCTGCATTTTGTAGTTAATGCTGATACACCTATGTTGAGGTATTTTGATTTGAAACACATTTTAATTGTTTTTTTTTTCCCAAGCTGGTTTTTGTTTAAAGATGCAAATGAGCATTGAAGACTTAAACCACACTGATGTCTCAACACACACAACTACATTCACTTATATAATAGCTGTGTAAGTCTTATACTATTATACTGTGATATATCATTATTCGTTAAAAGAAACAATTTCTAATATTCACAGTGAGATTTTATTTGTGTTAAGTTCAGTCAATATATTAATATTAGCAATGTTTTAATCATTTATTTATCACTGAACCTGTTCTTTATGGGAGTTTAGAGTCCTTTACTTCTCCTAAAGCACATGCAGCTCATTACTGCTTCCTGTAAACTGTCAACACACTCAACAGGTCAATTATTTCTTTCCAAAAGTGTCTATAAATTTTTATGATCAAAATGTAACTTGTTTCTGTGCCAGTTTTTATTTCCTTCGTTTTTTAGTTGAACAGAACATGTGTGAGCAGCTCATTTTTCTCGAAAGCCTCTTATTCACCTGATATGTAACAAAGATGTTTTTCCCTCTAATTATCAGTTGTGTTTGTGCATACAAATATGCATAGACATTCACAAAAGCATATATAAGATACTCTGTGACAAAACCTTTTTTAACACTGTAAAGCTATCACCTACTGTCCATTTTTTGCAACTTTTGGCCTTAGAAGATAATTGTTTGTACATTAATCACAAATGGATGAGACACACTGTAACTTCAAACTCATTAGTGTTAATTCCAGGTGCTGTGAAATGTTATGTACAAGCTGCAGAGGCAATCAGGTGTGATTACCTCAAGCATCTTTTTTGCTTCAAATAAAGTCTTATACACTAAAATCATTATAGAATTGGTCTTTTGTTGCTAATAATTGATTTATACTATCTGAAATATAACTAATTCTATTATATAGCTTTATCGCTTAACCAGGAGAAGGAGGGAAAATGCACTCACTCACTCAATGCAGTCGAATCAATGAGCAAAAAACACAATACATTAAAGGTTACCAAGACACATATCACAGCAAGAGAGATCTGTTATGGTACAGGCACAAATCAAGCGACACAAAGACACCAAGAAAGCAACTTTTAATCAGAAAATCAGAAACTTTACATATATATATATATATATATATATATATATATATATATATATATATATATATATGTATATTATTTATTCATTCATTTTCTTGTCGGCTTAGTCCCTTTATTAATCTGGGGTCACCACAGCGGAATGAACCGCCAACTAATCCAGCAAGTTTTTACACAGCGGATGCACTTCCAGCTGCAACCCATCTCTGGGAAAAATCCACACACACACTCACACACTACGGACAATTTAGCCTACCCAATTCACCTGTACATGCATGTCTTTGGACTGTGGGGGAAACCGTAGTACCCGGAGGAAACCCACGCGAACGCAGGGAGAACATGCAAACTCCACACAGAAACGCTTGTTGCTATACATATATATATAGCAGCTGGGCATAGTTAGTCTGCAAGCAAGTTGGGCTGCGGTCACACTAGAGTTTGTGCTTGCAAAATTCTTTCATACATCGCTGCAAAAAAGGGTGGGATAAAACAATATGATTAGACGATACTAAAAGCGACTGATTGCTCCATATAGCTCATGTTTTGATCTTCTATTGGTCTCATGCACTCACGTGATGTGATGTCAAGCTTTTTTCTTACCTTTGTGGAGTCCACTATTAAATCTGTCATGCAGCTATATATTTATAATTAGAAGATAATTACATCTCAAGTTAAATGATTGTACAGGCAGTTTATACAGGGTAATTCAATGACAAGAGTTCACTTTCATAACTACACAATGCAGAACTTTTAATGTGATTAACCTGCTCCACCTACACCAACTACAGCATTTCTCAGACTTCTGTTTCACTATGGTGTAATTACAGTGGTGAACATCACATACAACAACAACTGCACTTACTCCTGTAACTTGTTTTCAACAATGAAATTTAAATATCTGTGTCACAGATTCATTTAAATAAATGGCTCATCATCATGTGCAGTCGTCTTTATTAATAGCTGCCTAATAGGCCAGACCATTAACTGAATAGGATCGTTTTACATATATGAAACCTCTTAACAGTTATAGCTGTTCATGCCAATATCAACTTGATAGCCTAAAGCAAATTACATGAACAGGACCTGCCTAACATCTCTTAAGACAAATAAGCATAGTGTCTATAACAATACATGCTTGATTGCCCAGATCATTACATCTGAATGGTGCCTTTTCGTAAGCATAGTTCTTCACCAATACCAGTTTAATACCTCAAATAAAGACACAGATGTGAGGCGTCACAGTGGTGCAGTGGGTATCACGATCACCTCACAGCAAGAAGGTTGCTGGTTCGAGCCTCAACTGGGTCAGTTGGTATTTCTGTGTGGAGTTTGCATGTTCTCCCCGTGTTCGTGTGAGTTTCCTCTGGATGCTCTGGTTTTCACAAAGTCCATAGACATGCGATGTGTGTGAATGAGTGTGTTTGCATGTTTCCCAGTAATAGTTTGCAGCTGGAAGGGCATCCGCTGTGTAAAGCATGTGCTGCTGGATAAGTTGGCAGTTCATTTCATTATGGCGACCCCTGATTAATAAAAGGACTAAGCTATAAAGAAAATGAATGAATATATGAGTAATATCACACGAGTATCAGTTTCTGTATTTCTTATTGTTGTAATGGCCAGTTGTTATTGCAATAAAAAATGTATAAATAAATGTAAAAAAAGCAGTGTGATGTGGCTCTCGGAACGATTGTCCCTCTACCTGTTGTTTCAATTCCCTGAGAACTTTTCTCATCTTCAGAACGCAAATGAAGACACTTTAGATGAAATCAGAGAGCTCCTTCATCTGTCATAGACAGCAAGAGTCCCGAGATGCTCAAAGGGTTTGACAGTGTTTTTTTCTGGAAAAGAAACCAAAAACATTGTCAAAACCTGTGACGTAACTTTAGTGGTTCAATTGTAATCGAGTTTCAAGAACATTTTGTTTGCCAGAAAATGTTGATAAAATCAGCCATGTCCCAAGCAGGAGCTGTTGAACCATGCAGTAGCTGCTTTTTGATCCTGTAGCCTATTCTCTTCATTTGCATTCAGCAGAAGAAACTCAAACAGGTTTGGCTTAAGTAGTGGATGAGTAAATTACCGAATTGTAATTTTTTTTAATGTGAACTACCCCTTTAATGCTTCTGTAAGTAAAGGTAAATTAAATATTTTTACTGAAGAAACTGCTAAAGAATGGCAGAAAACGTGGAACACAGATAATAAGAGACAACAATTCATATGAAACAATAAGAAACACTATATAGGCCTATGAAGTTGTAAAAATAGAAAAGAAAATAAGGGGTCCTTAAATTAGCAAAAACGCGTCCTGACACGCCCTGAAAGCATTTGCGCCCTGCGTTTTGCGCTTTGCGCATGGACCGTCAAAATAGAGCCCTTGGACTCAGAAATTAATAGGAAGTAATGTGTTGTAGACATGCAAGTCATCATGAACTGGATTAAAAAAAAAGTTTCTCAAAATTGTCTTAAAATGTTTAGATTAAAGGTTTTGATCAACTTTAAATACTAAAGTGTGTGTTTGTGAGAGAGATCTAATCTATTAAAATTTTTATTAATATTTTTTATTTTATCAATCTTTTTATTTTTATCTATCTATTTTTATTTTATTAATTTCTGTTGTTTTTCTGTATTATATTTTATATCCATATTTGTTTGCACTACTGCCCTTTTTGCATTGTCTTGTTTTACGTATTGTCGCTGCACTGCTTTTGGCAATATGAATGTACAGTTATTTTTTTATGCCAATAAAGCACATAAAATGTGTGTGTGTGAGAGAGAGAGAGAGAGAGAGAGAGAGAGAGAGAGCAGAAATAGTGTAGATTGAAAAACAAGGGAGACATGTATCAATAAGTCATGACTGCAACAGTAAGTGGCAAAAAAAGCTAAACAAAAAAGACTTTTATTTTGGCGTGGTGTGTGACGTCATCAGGTGGCGCCGCTTCAGCGCTGTGATTCAACTGGAGAAAGGTTTGTGTTTTTAAATGTTTACGGATATAACCCGATTTAATTAATGTTTCAGGTTTTTCATCCGATGCTAAATTATGTACTTGCTGTTGGAAATATTATTTTAACCCTTTATACAGCGTAGTACTATTTTATTCTCAGTAACTGAGGGCTTTTGTTTGTGTGTAATGCGAGTTTTAAAGCAGCGTTTCCCAAACTTTTCAGCCCGCGATCCCAAAAATAACAATTTATTTAGCAGTCTATATTGTTTACCATGTTACTGAAAATATTCTGTCAGAATTATCATGCAAGTATGACTTCTAAACAACATTAGCACTATCTAATTGACTGTAACCAATGCTGTACTTTGGTAATTATTAGCTGCTAATATCCCAGCCGGCACACGACCGACCTTCAACGTTGAAATATGGTTGAAATAAGGTCAGTTGTGTTTTGAACGTTGAAATAATGTTGATAGAACGTTTAATGTTGAATGGTTGAAAAACAGCCTGCATATGACAAGGCTTCAACGTTGAAATGTGGTTGAAAATATGTCAGTTGTTGCTTTAATGTTGAAACAATGTTGAATGATAAATGGTTGAAAAAAGTTACAGAAATCGTTGTACAAATCAACGTTGACATTTTTTTTATCATGATCTGTATGTTGAATTTACGTCATGGCTTCACCCAACATTCAACATGTTTGGTTACCATGGTATCAGAGGACTCGGCGCACGCGGCCACGCGCAGCGCTTCACTTCACTTCACTTAATTACGAACACCTGACCTGCAGTGCAGCAGAATTCAGAGGTAAGCGTGTTTTTAGATGCTTTAATGTTTTATTTACCCCCCGATTTTGTTTTACACACAGTGTATCTTAAATGTGATTTGGTGTAGTGTTTCGAATTTTGAAGCATTTAAAACTTTCCTGTTTGGTTTTTAGTCTTGTTTGCGCTCCGGTGACGCGCAGCTAACCTTGAGGTAATGTCACATGTTTAACGTTAGTCTAAATGAGCGTTTTTATGGCAAATTCAAAGCGATAAACTCCAAACGCAGTATGAAGTTACTGAGCAACGTTATAAAACAGTATAATTTTTATACGCTGTATCATTAGTGTTATTATTACAAAGTGAACTGCTGTCGTTTCACTGTTGTTATTGTTTTTGCTTTTAGAGATGTAACTTACTCCAAAGACGCATTAACTTGCACAGCATTGAATGGAAAAGGCTTTGTCCATGTAAGTTTACTTTAGCTTTAATTAAGCTATCTGTTAAATCTTCTTGATGCTTTGGTTGGTGGTATTCTCTTTCTAATCTGTTTGTTTATTGATTGTTAGGCCGTGTTGTGATATTATATTGTTATATTGATATTATTATTGTGAAATCATGTTGTGATGTTATACTATGTGACAGTATTGGGGAACAAATATTTATTTAGTTAGAAATTAATGCTTAAATTGCACTTTGTATAGTAGCAGATAAGAGGTGTAATGGGTTTTAATTTTCTGGGTTTTCTGGAAGGTCCAGTTGAGGGCATCAAGAACAAGCAGATGGCCTAAACCTGTCAACCTGTGACAGACTGCAGTTCTGCTATTCCACACCAAGGCTTTTGTATGGATGTCTGACTACTACTGTGTTCTCTAAAGGTATTACTGGAGCAAAACAACAGCACCTGTTACAGTGAAATTTGTATTCATAAAAATAGTGATACATGTGTAGCAGGTCCAGTACATGTGATGTCATTGAGAAGTTGTTTTTATTAAATGTCATTAAAACAAACAAATAAATAAACATGCTATTTAAATAAATCTAAATATTAAAAACTTGAGGATTAAGATGAGAAATGAAATGCATCATCTGTCTTGCGAAAGGGGTCTACTTAAGAATTCTGGTGTTTTCCAACTGAAAGGGATAGTTCTCCCAAGAATGAAAATTTACTCACATTTTACTCCCCAAATGGTTTAAAACCATTATGAGTTTATTTTGTTGAACAAAAAAAGAGGCTATTCTGAAAAAAAACTAAAAACCTGTAAACATTGACCTCCATAGTAGATAAAATACTATAGAAGTCAATGGTTATAGATTTGCAGCTTTCTTCAAAATATCTTCTTTTGTGTTCAACGTGGTCAGTAAATGACGACAGAATACAAATTTTGAACTATCCCTTTAATTCTCTGTCCTACATGCAGACTTTTGTAGAAGTGCTACTCCTTTTAGAGTTTTTCTCAACCATATGTCTAAAAAGCTTCAAACAGCTTTTACAGTACATGTAATGGTTTACAACAACTTGTAATTATTAGATGTGTTGAATGTTTCATGATTCTTTGCTGCAGCCTTTGTTAAAAAAAAAAAGTAATTTTTTTGAGAATCTGAAATTTGAATTCTGGAAATGCTGGCACCGGTGGTGGCGAAGGGCTTCCTGACGATATCACACCTAATTCTTCACTTCTCTTAGTTAGGAATATTCAGATGGATGAGTCAAAGTTATTAAGTGTGACGATATTATAGGACAAATTTTAATTCAATAAAAAATAAATATTTGAATTTCACTTTGTATAATAGCAGATACCAACTTAGTTGTAACCTCGTATTTCATTTATTGCAGGTTTTCTAGAAGCTCCATTTTGAGGTCATCAAGGACATACTGATGGCCTAAACCACACTGTTAGACCTTACCAGGCTTTTTTACAGTAGAAAACTGGCAACACTGTTGCCAGCTACTCACTGTAAAAGTTTGGTTACAGTAAGTAACTGGCAACAGTGTTGCCAGTTAATTACTGAAACTGAACCATTACAGTGAGTGGCTGGCAACAGTGTTGCCAGTTGTTTACTGTAACCGAACCATTGCAGTGAGTAGCTGGCAACAGTGTTGCCAGTTAATTACTGTAATAGAGCAGTAGTGGTAACTAACTGGAAACTGTGTACAGTTAATTACTGTACTGTAGTGTTACAACTCACAGCATTATACTGCATACACAATAGTATGTCAAGGTGTTACTAAAATTAATTAGTATTCTTACCTGTTATTAATTCTTTAAATTAATTACGTTGTAAATTCTGACAAATTTATTTTATTGTTTTGGCAGCAAACAAATATAAGACAGAAAATGTATAGCAAAATTAAGAAATCAGCAAATATATCATCTTACATATTACTGAGAGCCCCAGGTCTGCACAGCAGGGCTGCAGTCAAACTAACGTTTAAGCATGCAAAATTCTGTCATATGGCTCTGCGAAAAGGAGTGGGATTAAACAAAATATTTAGAGACTGAAAAAGCAAGCAACTGGTCCATAATTTTTGTTAAGAGAGGTCATGGTCGGATCTTTGATTAGTCTCAAGCAATCACATGATGTGATTTCGCAGTTCAGAGTTCTCAAAGCTTGAACTTTCCAATGCTGCAAACTGTAAAATTTGTCACATGAGCATGCATTCCAGGTCTGCAGCATTCACATGCGTATTAATGGAAGTCTATAGGGAGAAAAGTGCAGTGTGACCGAGACTTTAAGCTGTAACTCTAATTAAACACACCTGATCAAACTAATTAAGGCTTGTTAGAAATCTACAGGTAATGTTGAAGCAGGGTGGGTACTAAACTCTGCTGCCCTGCAGTTCCCCAGGAACTTGGAGTTTGACCCCCATGGTATATAGCAGGGGTGCTTTATCCTGTTCCTGGAGATCTACGTTCCTGCAGATTTCAGTTGCTACCCATATCAAACACACCTGCCTGTAATTATCAAGTGGTGTTCAGGTCCTAATTAATTGGTTTAGGTGTGTTTGATATGGATAGCAACTGAAATCTGCAGGAAGGTAGATCTCCAGGAACAGGATTAAGCACCCCTGGTATATAGCATACTTTTAAAGCAACTGCTAACATTTATCACAATCACATATCCATTAAACACACACACACACACAATGCTGACCATGCAAAAAAAAAAAAAAAAACTGAACAGCAAAAAACACAAAATAATTATTTTAAATTTAAAAAATTTAAATAATTAAAAGCTCTGTCAAATCTCAAAAAGTTTAAAATAATTATAAAAAACAAAAATAAAGTTGGCAACACCGAAAAACCAAAGGATCCAATCTTTTATTGTTATAATTATCTCATGACAACAAACTTTTTTGTTGTTTCAAATATAAATTCATAGATGGAAACACAGCTCTGAAAAATACTTAGCAACAAACTCACAACCTGGGACCGGACAGGGGAGCTTTTATGTGTGTATGGCTATGTGTATCATGTTTTTGTTATTGCCTGTGATGATGTGCACATGTTACCTTACTGAGATGATGGAATTTAATTTTGGCTTAGTTGCCAGAAAGATACATACAACTGTTAGCATCTGTACATTATGGCAGTATGCAATATCCAATAAATACATATACTTAAACAAAAGTAATGTAAGAAGTTATATGAGGAGAGGCTAACTAGCTAACAATGTAGCTTTCAAGTACACAGTTCAAGATAACAACAATATAACTTAAAACACAGCCTTATTTTATAAACCCTCAAAAACATTTGAACACATTTTACTTACTCATTTTAGATTCTTATTTAAAGCCTAAAACATATCAGACTCAAAATCTGAATTGATAGACAGAGAATAGAGCACACTCAGCAGTAAACAAATCAAACACCTGGCTCTCTTAAAGGGCCAGCATTTTCTGAAAACTCTTTTTAACACCTTTGTGTTTAGAATAAGACGGACAGCATGTGGGAGTGTGTGGTGATGCCTAAATCATTATTTTTTTTACAGTTATTTACTGCACAATCTACAGAGTAACAGTGCAGTTATACTAATTAAACACACCTGATCAAACTAAATCTAAAGGTAGTGTGTTGAAGCAGGGCTGGAACTAAATTCTACTAGGCTGTGGCCTTCCAGGAGTTTGACACCCCTGTTACATAGCATATTTTCAAAGCAACTGCCTACATTTATCACAGTTATGCACATATCGTTTAATGAAAACAATAAAAATATACTATAATATAAACTTTATCCATAGAAAAAATAAATAAATAATCTGATTCTCATGTCGTTCCAAATCTGTAGTAATAATAAAAAACACAACAAATATCATGATTTATACATTTATTTAGAAAAAGCCTTTATACTGTTAATGGCACTTTTACTTGCCAGTTTTCCAGACAAATTCATTGAGTCTCTGCAAAAATGTATGTGCGTGTTGTTTAAGATATATATATATATTTTTTAAATAACACATTTTTACTAGTTATTTAGCAAAATACTAATATTCAGTTGAAAGTGCAATTTAAAATCTTAACTATAGGTCAAACTAGGCAATTAAATTAGATTAATTATAGAAAAAGTAAACAAAGTTATAAAAATTATTGTGACAATTTCTTTGCTCTGTGTGAATATTTTTGCCTTTAAATGCATCTCGTCCATATCTTACACTTACCTTTTAATAAGCTCTGTGACATTGGTTGACTCCTGATACTCAATGTTAGGAAGGAACCAAAGAAAACACAGAGATAAAATAAATATAAAATAGCAACATAAAGCATCAGAGTAGATGGGGCAGTAATGGTTGAACAGTAATTTACCATTTATTATCACAGTGAATATCTGTAATGGTACATAGAGTAAATTACTGTAATTTATTCTTTGCACTACAGAATTTCATACAAATCCTGCTCCTTTTACAGTAAAATACTGTTTCTTTTCATTACAGCTAAACACTGGCTATTTTATAGTTATTTACTGCATAATCTACGGTAAGGGTTAACAGTGCAGTGTCAGCCTAGACAGACAGACATCTATTGCAGTTCTGCTACACAAGACCAAACTCTCTGCTTTTGTATGGATGTCTGACTAGTACGGTGTTCTCTAAAGGTATAACTAGAGCAAAACAACAGCACCCGTTACAGTGAAATTTGTGTTCATAAAAGATATGTGTAACAGGACCAGTACATTTGTCATAAAGGTTAAATCACAGTAAGTACTGTAAAAACAACTTGTTTGCCTTTGCCACAACAGGTCATGGTGTGTGCATACTGCTCGTAGTAAACACACATGCTGATCTGATGCGGGAGAGATATACGCAAACACATTTGTATTTACTGTTTTGTTTTGCCTCACTAAAGTGTTGTTGGAGCTTGGTATGTTCACAGTTGAAATCACTGAGGTCACATGGAACGTTTTGACAATGTGTTTTGTGCCCAATCTTGACAATGACCATCTTGGGACTATTGCTGTCTATAGAGGATGAGGAGCGTTTAATCTAAAATATTTTAGTTTGTGTTCTGAAGATTAACAGGTCTCTGGGATGACACAAGTACTTAATAACAGAACCTATATGAACAGTTAATGTGACATGTAATAGTGAAATAGTGGTCCTACATTCACAAATGTGAGCCATTATTATAAGACCCATGTGAACATGCAATTTTTATGATACTAATAATAATGGAATAACAAATTGCTTTTACTGTTGTGTTTGTGAGAGAGAATCCAACCATATATTCTACACATTTTCTTGATGATTTACTGAAATATTTGTCTGTTCCACTGTCACAGGTGCTCAGTTTTGCTGCAGTAATGCTAAACACAATAGATGTACTTTATGCAAAAAAAACACAAAAAAAAACTACTAAATATTTAGCATGCAGACCTGCAAAGTGAAGGAGCAATGTCAGGTTTAGATTATAGCATGAGTTTTCACTATTGTGAAAGTGAAGCCATTCATTTACAATGAATTGGAATAGCAAACCTCATTATTGATTTTGTAGGAAACTCACCTGGTGTTTGAGAAATAAATATGTATTTAAGTGCTAGACTGATATAGATGTTTTAGTGTTTTACACTTTATTCTTTGTCCCCAGTACCAGCTTTTACCTCAAGTGTTTCTCTCAACCTATAAAACCTCAAACAGATGTAATGTATTTCACTTGTGATTCTTAGTTGTGAGTGATGTTTTTTATTTTTTTTTTTTTTACTGCAGCCACTTTAAGAATGGGTATTTTGTAAACTTTGTAAACGGAATTGTATTTTGGAGACTGTGATGGTTGAAGCGTAGTTTAGTTACTTAGTTTAATTTAGTTAGTATCTGTCTTTCTGAAGACGGTAACACTTTACAATAAGGTTGTATTAGTAAGTGTTAATGTATTTACTAACATGAACAAAGAACAATGAAGCATCTTTCATATAAAGAAAGTACAGTTCATGTCAGCTCAGTGCATTAATGTTAACAAGCATGCATTTTGATTTTAATAGCATCGGGACATATTTCAATTAATTAAATGATTAATAAATGCTGTACAAGTATTTGTTCTTTGTTCATGCTAGTAAACATTAACTAACTTTAATTCATGAAACCTAATTAAAAAGTGACTATTTAATTGTATGCCTTTTTCTGTATTTGAGCATGTATAGTAACCTGCATGGTTTTAATGAACTATGTATGCTGTAAATGTTGCTGTATATTTAGAATAATTGAAATAATGAGGTGTGTATTAAATAAATTGATACACAGGCTAAGTTGTGTATTTGTGTCGTGTATTTTTAATTAGTAAAAATTTGTTTGCTATATTTATGGACTTTGCGTTGTATGTAATTCCTATTTAACTTACGTTGAAATGTATGACGGTGAAACAACGTCACGGTATCAACGTTGATCCAATTTACAAAATCGAAAGGTAATTCAACCTTCATTCAACGTCTACAAAACGACCATAATTCACCCATGAAAAAGGTAAGAGTGAAACAACGTTGTGATTTCAACGGTGAATCACCGGTGGTGGTCCGACGGTGAAATAACGTCACTATATAAACGTTGATCCAATTTGCAAAATCGAAAGGTAATTCAACGTTGATCCAACCATAGGCCTGACGTTGATTCAACGTTGAATCACCGTTGAAATGCCGGCTGGGAAGCTATTGAAAAATTGATGTCAAATAGAAACGAGAGGTGCAAAAGCTTAAATCCGCCATAAAATGAATAAAGAAAAAATAACAACAAAAACAAGTGTACTTGCATTAGTATGCACTTGGACAACGTGGTCAAATTCAAGGAATCGACTCTTTTGTGTTCGAAACTTCATCACTATTGCGCATGTTTCCTCAAAGCATCACACTCAGCACGTAGAAGACACCAGTCCACGCGGGAATACTGAGGTAAGTAGTCTGATTCATTGTTATTGATATGTGTGGTCAGTAAAATATTTATTCCACTTTTTTGTAGTAAATTTAACAAGGTAATAACTTTATTTAGACGAATAAAGCTATGTTTAAACACGTTGTGATGACAACTGACCAAGCAGCAGTTCAAGGTGATTAGGGCTAACTTAAATTTCGGGAAAATTTGTTCTTTAAATTTATTAGATTAATATCATACGACAAATTGACTGCTAAATAATGAATACTGTAAAAGTGTACATATGCATTATACTGTAGTGCTGGGAGATTATTCGAAAATCGAAACCTAAATCCATAACCGACATATATCCCCACGTGGCGATTTAATGCATGTACCGTCCACATGTGCAAAGCTCATGCGAATGCAGGCAATGTGATTAATATTCAGAGGCATGACAGATTTTCTTTTTGATTATATGACCTATAATTTGTGAAGCATAACTCACTTTTCTTTAGCGTATATTCATAATCAAATCGACTGAGGTTTTGTTTTTATTATTTCTAGTTATCACATACAAGGTAGGTGCAGTAATCAGCACTATCGCCTCACAGCAAGAAGGTCGCTGGTTCGAGCCTCGGCTGGGTCAGTTGGCATTTCTGTGTGGAGTTTTCAATTTCTTCGTGTTCGCTTGGGTTTCCTATGGGTGCTCCGATTTCCAAAGTCCAAAGACGAGGTATGGGTGAATTGGGTAAGCTAAAAAAATGGTCCATAGTGTATGAGTGTGTGTGTGTTTGTGTGTGTATGTTTCCCAGTGATGGGTTGCAGCTGGAATGGCATCCGCTGCGTAAAACGAATGCTGGATAAGTTGGCGGTTCATTCTGCTGTGGCGACCCCGAAATAATAAAGGGGCTGAGCCAAAAAGAAAATGAATGAATGAACATACAATGTAAGCTGTCTTTTCGAAAAGAGAAGCATGCACACACACGCACTTAAAATATTATTGTGAACAGCAATGTTCACATTATGTACTTTTTCACAATGCTTTATTATTTACTATTTTCCAGACACAAGTTATGCTTGTTAAAGATACTTGTCGTTTTCCACTTTTGACATGGAAATATTTTTTTAGGGAAACTTTCTTTTAACACTAAAACTGAAATGTTTAGTAAATTAATAAATGGAACTTGATTAAGTACAAAAAATTACTTGGAAAATAATATAATGATTCAATATTTCAAAAGGAGGTAAAGTGTTCAATCAATCAAGGTTTTGATTTAAGGTTTAATCTCCTTGCCCTAATATACAAGAATGAACAATTCTCCACTTAAAATAATGATCTAAATTTTATTTCTAAAACACTCTTGTGTATTAAATATTATTTTACAATATATGAACAGCATATGCTAGCTCGTAAGCTTATAGCACACTGATAACCATATTATGTGTGTACAAGGTAATCATGCTATAGAGATATACTGGCAGTTCTGTCTTATAGGTATTATCTAAACCGTTCATTGCAAGACAATTGAACATACCTATCACAAGTGTCCCAATATTTGTGTTGTTTAGGCCTCTTTTATCTCCTCTTCCACACCAGTTGAGCTGTTTGGCCACTGGACCAAACACTTTGGAGGCTACACGCCAAATGGTTTTTTTCAGAGTTTGTCCTCCTCTGATGGATAACCTCTTCATCTTAAAAATAAAAGGTAATATTAAATCTTTACAGACAAAGTGCAAGGACTATGGCCCAGTTTTACAGACAAGGATGAGCTAAAGTCTGGACTATAAGTCTTAGTTAATGTTAGATATAAAACTGCTTTTATAAAAATCCATGTGAAAGAAAATATAAGCACAATACTAGCGTGCATCTGGTAACAAAATAATGGCAATGAGATATTGTAAGGCATCACACAGCTCACACATACATTTTTAGTTTGGGACTAGCCTTAAGTGTTGTCTGTGAAACTGGCCATATAATAAAGATTTACTTAACAACAGCTGTAAAACCTTTAAATCTTAAATATTCGTACCATCTTCTCCATCATTGGTTTTTCAGCTAATTGCCTTTCCAGTTGTTCAAGGTCCTCCATTGTTTCAATAGGAAAGGTGTCATCCTCAGTGTCCACCACCATTTGACCACTTGACCGAGGGGCAAGGGACTGGACCACTGAAGTTAGATGGGTAATCTTCATGTCCAGCTCATTAAGCTTCTCCAAAATTGCCCTCTCCACAGCTGCAACACAGTAAGTGGGTTAATCTCTATTCAACTATACGTAAATATTTTTTAATTATTATTATTATTCTTAGCACTTAAATTTTACTTACGTGTGTATTGACTGGAGATGCAGCTCCATCGGCTGATACCAGAAGCATCTGCAAGCAAAATCACTTTTGAACGATTCACAAAAATGTTATGAGGATATTGTAATAATATGCTTAAAACCTTAAACTATAATAAAAAAAAAAAGCTATATCCGTCTGATTACACATTGTTTTTCTATGGCTAAAATGACTTAAACTATTCACAGAATTCAGAAAAGCAAAATAGCAAAACTGAATTAAGAGGAAATAAAACTGAATTTTTAAAAGCAGACAGAAGCCAACCCCCTCTTGGTCTGTGCTTTTACGTAAAATAGTTTATATGTGAATTTTTCTGTGCATACGAAATCGTTAGTTCCCCAAAGTTATTGAAAGCATAAATTAACAAAACACTTTAAATTAATTTTCAAACCATTAATTTATAGGTAATGATAAATTATATATTGTACACATTAATATTATATTAATATTATTAATATATTGTATTAATATTAATATTATAATATTACATTAATATTCTGAATACAGTGAGTTTTTTTCACTGTAATTAACGAAGTGTTTTTTGTTGTTGTATAGTGTTGTATTTATTAGGTTACAAGGAAATAATTAGATAATGTTTTGCGAACAGCTTATTAACCATGGAAAATTTTCACAGAAAATTGGAAAATGTCATTGATTAGTTGCTTTGAACAAGTTTCATATTCAGTGTTGATTAATATGTTTACAAATAAATTAAAAGGATGTACATTTACTTACGTTTACACACTATTAAGTGGTTACAAACATTTGAGTTTTTTTTGTTCTGCTAAACACAAGGAAGGTACTGTGAAGAAAGCTAAAAGCCAGTGATTATTGACTTCTATAGTAGGAAAATGCTATGGAAGTAAATGGTTACAGGTTTCCAACTTTCTTCAAAATATCTTCATTTGTGTTCAGCAAGAAGGAAGAAAGTTTGGGTAACACTTCGTAACAACTGCACACTGAATCATGCATTTAGCATTAGCAAATTGTTAATTAATTTGCAAGAAATTTAATTAATTTGTTAAGATTTAACTACATTAATAGATGTTGGTTAGCAGTATATAAATACAACTACAAATACTGTATAAAAAACATAATAATAATAATAATTCATAAGAAGTAACTGTCACTTAAAAAAACAAATGACTTACTCTTCGCTCTTGCCTGGGTACTTGAAGGTCTCAGCTCAGAAGTTGTGTCTTCTGTGTGATTGTACAGACAATGTAACATTACCATGTTAATAATTAGAAACTAATTTGCTGTGTATGTTTTTTTGAATGTTCTTGCACCTCGATAGCTCGATGGGTGGTCCCCCCAAGCATCTTCTTGCTCATTTACATGGGACATGCTTATTGGAAAAACTGGTGCTGAGAAAAAGGTCAAGTTGGTAAGTTGCATTTGCTACTATGACACTACATAAAATGTATATAATTTATTTATTTTTTACACTTACTCTGCATTTTTCTTTGATCTGCTGATGGCTTTGGATCTTGGACAGAGTATGTGTTGTCTAAATAATAAAAAACAAACAAACAAAAGTATAAAAAGGTTGCAAAAAATTACAATAAATGTGTTTAGGATTTCCTCTGTATACTTCATTATTGTTTTATTTAATCTTTGATGGTAGAAACATGTAGGTGATCAGGTCACCCATATAGAAATCTGATGTATGTAAATATACAGGGTGATTCAAAAAGAATACCACAACTTTTAAAATCAAGAACTCTTCAAAGAAGAGGGGGTCATATTGAACATCTATGAACTTGTTTACTACTAAAAAACTTTTAAGGACTTCACACTGATTATTTACCCAAGGTTCCATCATGTTTCTTTGATTAAATACAGATTTTCAAAGTTGTGGTATTCTTTTTTTAATCACCCTGTATATAGAAAACAAATAATTGAATTAAAAGTTCATATTTAGACTTCACTTACAATATTTGTCATTGACCACTTATATATTTGTTAAACAACTGGAATTCCAAATATGTATAGATATGTAAATTTTATATTAATAATTAATATTTTTAGGTTTTAATAATTACATTTAATAATATATATATATATATATATATTTTTATATATATATATATATATATATATATATATATATATATATATATATATATATAATATTTTTTTCTGTAGAATGCTTTAAAATATTATATTTGTCCATTAGGTTTGTCAGTACTAAAGTCAAAATAATTTAGCTAAATAAATTTATGTTACGGTTCAAAAATATATACAAAAAACCTTTAAAATACAGGAAAAAATCTAGAGAAACTTAAAATAATATTACATTTATTATTATTATTATAAATTAAAAAATTTGTAGTTTACTTTTTTGTGCAAATACTCATTTGAATTTAAATTTAAATTGTTTTTTTTATTCCTAAAGATGTTATGTGGCCAAACTTGTATTTTAGTGCACATAACTGTTTAATAAACATCTTTTATTTAAATGAACAAAAATATTATCTCTGTTTACTGAAAAATAGATTACAATATTCCAATTCAAAAGGAGGTGTACTCATATGTGCTGAGCAGAGTGTGTGTGTGTGTGTGTGTGTGTGTGTGTGTGTGTGTGTGTGTGTGTGTGTGTGTGTGTGTGTGTCTTTGTGCGTGCGTGTGTGTGAACATATCTGTACATATTATTCCAATCGTTGAAAGATAATATTTGTAAGCAGCACAGCCATTTTTGCAATATTTCAAAATGTATATTGCATAAATAAAATATATTTTATTTGTAAAATCCAAATAGGAACTTGCATGGCATATATGTAATTTGCATAAATTTAAATGCAACAGATTTCAATATGGGCAGGTATCGCATTGGTGATCTGCATATGAGAAGCTCTGTCTTTATTGAGCTTTCTTGACATTTGACAAAATGGTACTCTTTCTACTGTTGTAGATGAATTGTGTTCTCTTTTTTGTATTTTAGTCTTAGCTTTACAGCCTTGTTTAATCAAACATTTTCTTTTTTACAATACAGCTAAATGAAATGTGACCGTAATTACCTGAAGTGAGACATACAACTTACGTGGTGCTCTGTCTTGTAAAGGCCGCAGCACAGAAAATGTGTCCTCTGTTGGATTGTACAGAAAATGTTGAGTTACCTAGTGTGAGTATGTGGAGCAATTTTCTTATTTCAAATACCAATGAATCTGTTATTATTTATTTTGTTTTTTACCTTGATTTTCAGGTTGGGGTTTATCCCAAGTGTCTTGGTGCTCCACTTCCTGGCAGAACCTCACAGGTACGTCTGGAGCTGAAACTGCAATTATTTTCTTTGCAATTATGAAATGTTATTTGACATTTTTAATTGTAATACCTGGTTCAGAGAAGATTCAGTCTTTAAAGAGGCTTTCAACTTTTGGCAGAATAAGCAGATCATGAAACATACAATTTGTGCACAATTATTATGAAAGTCGATATCTGGTTATATTGACTGTGATAAGGGAGTCATGGTTTTAACTGCTAGTAACAATGAAAATTTAAGGATAGGAGAAGGATTTAAACTCTGATGACTTACTGCAAGATTCTGAAAGATAATATCTTTTAACAGTTACAAGAGGAAGTGGTCCTGTCCTTCTAGACCAGTTCTCAACCTATGCCTATGAAGTTCTCCGTGTATTTCAGTATTTCAGCTTGTGGTTATTTTTGAGTGGGTACATTTTGAGACATTGTATCCCATTGTGTCATTCTTTGACACAGAAGCTGACACATTGTACTTGTCAGTGACTAAAGGGTTCCTGATGCTTTCAAACTCTTTCAATGATGAACCGGATGAATCTTTCAGTATAGGAAATTAATTTTGAAATGAACACTGAAAACTTCTGGAAGATAAATTCTTTAAACCGATACAAAGGGAGTGGTGCTTGTCCTTTCAACCTATGCCTTTAAAAGTCTCTGGGCATTTTACAACATTTCTGCGTGTGATTCTTAAGTGGGTACAATCGATACATTGAGTCAAATTGTGTCATTCTTTGACACAGAATCTGACACATTGTACTTGTTTTGGCTCTGGCAAACTGGGTTTCCTAAACTATTCACCTTAATAACTGAAATCCTATTTTATAATATTATTTTCTTCTCGGCCAGTTGATTGTGACTCTTTATGTTTAAATAATGTCAGTTTCCCCTATGAGCATTTCTTGTCCAATGGACTCAATTTAAAAATTAGCTTGTGTTGCACTTTCTCCTAGCCATATAATATACAGTTGAAGTCAGAATTATTAGCCCCCCTTTGAATTAGTTTTTCTTTTTTTATATATATTTTTCAAATGATGTTTAACAGAGCAAAGAAATTTTCACTGTATGTCTGATAATATTTTTATGTCTATATATTTGTTTTATTTCAGCTAGAATAAAATCAGTTTTTAATTATTTAAACCCATTTTAAGGTAAAAATTATTAGCCCCTTTAAGCTTTATTTTTTTCTGATAGTCTACAAAATAAACCATCATTGTACAATAACTTGCCTAATTAACCTAACCTGACTAGTTAACCTAATTAACCTAGTTAAGCCTTTAAATGTCTCTTTAAGCTGTATAGAAGTAACTTGAAAAATATCTAGTCAAATATTATTTACTGTCATCATGGTAAAGATAAAATAAATCAATTATTAAAGATGAGTCATTAAAACTATTATGTTTAGAAATATGTTTTAAAAATCTGCTCTCTGTTAAACAGAAATTGGGGGAAAAATAAACTGGGGGGCTAATAATTCAGGGGGGCTAATAATTCTGACTTCAACTTTATATATATTCAAGTCACTTTTGCTTCAACTAAATATTTATATATATATATATAAATATATAGATATATTTATATATATAAATATAAATATATTATATTTATATTTATATATATAAATTATATATATATATTTATATTATATATAAATATATATATATATATATTATATATATATATATATATATATAAATATATATATATATTGTCTATTCAGCAATCAGAATCATGAACCAGCCTGTCATTGAGTCAGCCTTTTGAGTCATGAATGCTGTGAAGTTACAGCTTTTACAGTTTGTAGTTACAGTATTCATGTAAAGCGAGTTACCTTGACTAGTGGAGGGAGTTTCAAAACAGGCCTGCTGTTGCTTTTCTGTAGCTTTTTGTTGGTCGCGGACAAATGCTGTTGAAACATTACAGATGAAACAGATGTTATATCTGTCTCACAAACAAAAATTACATTGTACTGCACAGATCTTTATAGCTTGAGAGTGCTGTTGCTTCTAATTAGCAATTAAAAGTTATTTGTGCCTCTTAAAATGTAATACTCAATTTATGAATGTAATAACAGTAGTTTTTTGCAAAATGTTAAAAGAACAATATTACTGGATTCAGCTGAAAACATTATGGTAAAGCAACATGTCACAAGAGCTTGTGCATTACATTTAATTTACTGTGATTAAGGAACATTCTTGAGCATATCACAAAGTACTTAAAACATCAAATATCTGTTTTACTAATTAAAACTTACAATTGCAAAAACTGTTAATTGTTTTACATGATGTTAGCTGAGGTCGTACAAGGGGACCTGAAAAAGAAAAAAACTGCTCAGTGATCATACATACACTTTTGACTGGCAGTAATATAAGTGGTGTATTTTTACCTTTTGCCCTGATATGTCTTGGGGGTGTTGGAGCTTTTGGTGCAAGTGGGACCCTTGGTGTTGGTAGACTTTTTTCTTTATTTAGTTTCTTTTTTTTGTGGGGAGTATCGCAAGGCTCATCATCTGATGTGTATATTTTCTTTCTATGAGCACAATCAGGGTAGTTAATTATACAAAGCATGATTGGATTATAACAATGTCTTGTTTTTTAAATGTAAGAAGAAAAAAACACAAACTTAAAAATAAGTTCAATATAATTTTTCTAGTAAAAGTTTTCTTTCCATCATTCTTAGGAAAGTTAGGAAATGGCCAAAATATAATAGTAAAAATAACAAAACCTTTTGCTTGTTTAAATCTGGCATAATTGTGTATTTGCCTGTTGCAAAAAATGCAAACAAACAGTTGATGATACATTTAAAACTAAATATACCTGATTTACCTGATAAGTGTGATTGAGATGTAAAAACTACGGCTGAATTTGATATTATAATTAAATATATTTACCTTTGTTACTCACATGAACTTTGTTTAGCTTCAGAAGACTGAATATTGTTGTTAAAAGTAAAATGTGTGTTTTGACAACTTACTTCGGAATTCTTTTTGCAGGCATTTCAGATTCCGAGATGTCAGATGTGTAGCATGCCTGTTTCCATTTCTTTGAAATCTTGTCAAAAGATGCTGAAAGAAATAAAGTATGTAACAATTCATGAATGCAATAGTCTATGGAATGTCATATATTATTGAATTTATCCTTTGTTTAATATTGTTTATTTACAATGTACTTCTGTGTACCTGACTCGTGTAGAATTCTGGCCTGATGCTTGGTCCAACCTTTATCTGGTTGTGGTGCCTCCATCAACCGGACACTCTTCAACACCCTGTCTATCTCCTTGTATGGAGGCCACCACGAGTGACCCTCTGAGTACCAAGACTTTGCGACAGGTCCGGTACTCCTTTCGTGAATGAACTCCACTATCAGGTACATTTTTTTTAAGCTGCAAGAACCTAGAGCCCCATAGTGTTGAAAGACACATATTAAATTTCGGTTGTTTATGTGCATGATTCAAATACACAAAATACATTTCATGCAAAATAATGATGCAAGTTAATATTGAGAAATTTTTTCCCAAGCACATATTACCAATTCCAGACCACATCAATCTTAAGAACCACTACTACTTTTGTATTCATCATTCTTTATTGATATATAATTTTCTGACAACACTCAAAGTAAAAAATGCTTTAAATTCAGGTGTTTTACTGATAAAAATATAACTTGGACTGAAAAGTTGCAAAATTATTAAATGACGGTGAAAAGAAGGCAATACTAGAAATTGCAAAATAAAGTATTGACAACTATTTTGGATCATTTGAATCGAGCTATTTTCACTTTCTGCCTTCATATAATATTACATATTGGTTATAGTTGTAATTAGGGCTTGACATTAATACTCGCCAAACCACCAAATGCAGGTAGATTTCAGCTGTGGCGGGTAAAGACTGCCATTTCCACTAGCCACTTTGGCTGGTTGAAAATAATTTTTTAATCGTAGTTTTCTTAAAAGCAGGGTTCAACAATAAGGATGGTCCAGTTTTTGGGACAGTAGACAGGATTGTCAGTGTCCTGACCAGGCCAGTGCTGGCTTATCACTAAATATTATAATTTCAGTTTTTTACCGTTTATCAATATGCATGCAAATGTGATAAAAAAAAATTATATATATTTATTTTTTTCATATTTAGTGGTATACACAGTAATGAGTGGAACAGCAAATGAGATTTTAGAATCAAGAAGCAGCATGATTGACAAAAACAACTGTGTTTATGCAAAACAAAAGATAGCAGATAAATACCAAATGAGAGCTTGATCATACACACTGTGAGACACAGGCTATTCTTACTCACTGAGAGATGTTTTTGAGAGCCGAGTGTTTAAAATACTTGTGCACTACCGTGTCCTTGCATGTAGCAATCCTCCTTGGAAATGAAACTGGTGTGATGGATTCTATTTGAAATAGACTGGACAAAAGTAATTCTCATGCACCCACAGTCCTTCTGCTTTCAAGAGCTTTAGATTTAAAAACAGGTCTTTGTAAGCAGCAGTGATTGCCACTTTAACCATTGTTTGAACAGATTATTAATGTGCCTAATGTTAACTGTGTGCACATGATTAATATTTCATTATCACACATGGTTTGTTTTTCACCTGCTTTCTTTTGCTTGCAAGTCAATTTTCTGCATATAAAATATATTTTCCCAACAACAAAATTGTGGCTAGTGAAAAAGGCAAGTGGCTAGTAACCTTGGAAACTACAAGCCACAGTGACTGGTGATAAAAAAGTCAATATCAAGCCCTGGTAGTGATTAAGGTTTACAATTTTCAAAATGCTCTAGGAAAAAATATGATCAGAATATCATCTTGCACAATAATTATACTCGCACTATACAGTATATGTAAAAAAAAAAAAAAAGTGGAAATAGATAGATACTATGTGTGTAAAGTTTAAACTGAAACAAAATAATTTCTGCAAGGGACTAAAAAAAGCTTTCATTTCAATATTTTCAATCTTGCAGAGATGGATTGGTCCTGACATGACATCAGTAGGTAGATGCCAAGTGTGGAGGATGGAAGCGTGGGGATAGTCAAAAAGGAGTTAATGTTTGCTGAAGGTGGTGTAGACCATGTAAATGCCATGCTTTTCTGAAATTATGTTTTGCAGCTTTGCAACCTTTGGTTTGCCTGGTCCAGTTTCAGAGTATATGGGCATACTCACTCTAGGTACATTTCTGAGGAATGCCATCCTTTTTTCCAGGTGCACACCATCCTGAATACATGTTTCACACCCATGGTAACCTGGTTGGCCATTTTAGAAAAGCATGTTGCAAAAGCAAACTTGAATGTTAACTTTAGTCATTCAAATTCAAAGCCATTTTTTTTAACTCTTTGATTTCAGAGATTAGGTCTTCGAGATACTCATTCAGGGAGCTAGTTTTACAGTACCTTCAGCCCACAATAAATCTATTGGCACATTTTCCCCCTGCACCAAGTTTTAAACTTCTACTAGACTGAGCCAGCATTGAGCAAATGAACTCTTGTAGAGAGGAAGACCATCAATGCTCACCTGGAACTTAAAATTTTTATCTTCCTTAAAATGTACATGTTGTCATAGAGGACCCTTGAAATGGATGCCATTGAACCAAAAGTATATCACTGGCCCTGTGCGTTCAAAGAGAACTCATGTGCAAAAAGAAGGCTATTCTCTTTGAACGCACTTTACCTAATATTGTCCTTGTATCTTTTGGCAGACTCTGATTGTAATTGTGAATGATTATGAGTAATTCATTTAGGGATGCATGTGTTAATTTTTTTTTTTCTGTTTCCCATCTTGTCAAAGTCATCATTGAGGGGACTTGAACTAGTCAGATTGACTCGTTTATGAAGCACTTGCCAGGATGATACTGCATTCAGTCTCATTAACATGGGACAAACAGTCCAAGAAGTCAGTGCCATCTTCAACAGTGCTGCTTGTCAATGCCACCATACTGTTCCCTCAATAGTGATGCTTATAACACATGCATTGAATAAAGCTGTTTGTCCACCTTGGCTTTGGCTTTTCTCCTGTTGTGTCCAGTAAGATTGTTTTTTTACAATCCGTAATACACACACACACACACACAATGCATTGCCCTAACATGCTAAGCCTGCATTGGTTTTGAAATTCAGTACTTTAAGACCCTTAAGCAGGTCAAACACCAGAAGCGCCGCTCCGCAGCGCGCCACGCAGTGCCATGCATTTTAGAATTCTAAACATAGGTTTCGATCAGAATACACACACAGGTGCTGCAAGTCGGCGGCGCCACGGCACAGGACGAAGTTCATTTTTCAGCCTTGCCACAAAGCGGCATCTGATTAGTTTAATGTTAAATATCATTCGAATGTGCGCGTCTAGTGTGTGATGCTTTAAACTGTCATGTGCGCGCTGTGTCGCGCCGCTTCTGGTGTGCGACCTGCTTTACATCACACTGCTTACATGTACGCTTACATTTAATTGAACTTTATAAAACTGAAGCTTGGTAAACTAATTGGTGCATATTAGATGGGAGACATCCAGAATGTGCAGTGTTATGAGTCTCCAAGATTTGAAATTTTAGAACCACTTTCTTGATGACCAGTAGTTCTGTCACAATAATTACACGTACCTTATTTTTGAGGGACAGAATGTGTAAGTGTTATGTAGTTGTCAGTTGACTGTAGAGAACTCTGTAATTAGGGAAAAGATAAAACAGGTAACGTCAGTTTTGTCATTGTCATGCCTAGAAACAGTATAAAAAGCTTAATAAATGTATGATTACTCCTTTTTATAAAATGTTTGTTTAATTGAACTAGAACTAAACCCATAAGAATGCCTATATTCTGCTACTCCTTTGAATGTATTTTTATCCTACCCAAAATTACAGGGACAGTTCGTCTAACAATGACAATTCTATCACCATTTACTCACCATTCACTTGTTCCAAACCTGTTTTGCTGTCTTTTCTCTGTTGAACACAAAAGAAGATAGTTTGAAGAAAGCTAGAAACCTGTAACCACTGACTTCTATAGTATTTGTTTTTCTACTATGGAAGTCTATGGTTACAGGTTTTCAGGTTTCTTCAAAATGTCTTATATTTTATTCATCAGAAGAAAGAAAATCATAAAAGTTTGAAACCCCTTGAGGGAGAGTAAATGTTGAGTGAATTTTCATTTTTGATTGAATTGGCCTTTAATGTCAGGAGAACAAATTTGGAAAGAAATTAAGGTGAACCTAAAAAACTAAGGGCTAAGGATTATTTTATTTATATATTTATTTGAGTTTTTTTAGTTTATTTGACTATGGTTCAAGTTGTGGGGTTTCAAAACAGTGGACTATGGAGAGTTATGTATTTAAAACCATGCTGATTTTTTTTATTTAAACTGTTGCTAATGCTACTGTAGATATGGATTATGAAATGAGGGTGGTTTTTATAAAGTTTAAAAAAGTAACAAGAAGAAACAAGAAGTGTGTTATATACTATTTAAAGATTTGTTTCTGTTTTCTGAACTTGACAAAAATTGTAAGGAGATTTATTTGTTTTTGGAAAAGAACTAGAGGATAATAGATTTAAATCTTTATTGATATTTTTAAGGTTTATATGATAGAATTTAGTGGGCTAAATGGTAGTTAGTAATCCGGAATTTGAAAGAGGTCCTAATCAATAGGTGGCACTGTGGCAGTAATACGCTTATAAATAAATCTGTATGCAAAACGGCAATGTCTAGAAGAAGACAACGATACGATGACCACAACCAACACGAGGTTCACGGCTCTACAGGTAAAACAATTAACTTTGTGTTTCATGGCATGATGTTATTTTCCTATAGTTTATGTGTATGTGGTTTTAGTCACGGGATAGCATTAGAGCAGGGAATTCGGTATTGCGAGAAAAGTTCATAAAAATGGTCACTGTTAACACGGATTATAATCCGTTTTCATCTATATTAGGTGCTGACCACTGTTTTTCCACATAAAAAACTTTTAATACCATTTTGAATCCGGCACATACTTTATTAGGCATAACTAACATTTATGGTTGCGTTTGGAGGTTGTGCAAACTCTGGACAGTAGTCCTTCAGGATCGAGTGAGTCTGATGATTATAGCATGTTAATAAAGCCTGTTTAACCAGTTTCGTGCTTATTAAACCTATAAGTTCGATTTCATACAGGTCACTGAAGCATAGACCATAGGTCACGTGTTACTATTCTTAATGCTGTTGGACCAAACTAATCTACGACATAACTTTTCCCGCCCTACGCGTGCCTGACCACGTCAGTCAACCCTTTCGGTTATTAACCCTGCTTTACTATAGATAAATAAGTACACAAATATTTAATAAAAGTGTGTTAATGTAGTTGTGCCATGGTTATCATAGATTTACCTGTTTTTGCTAACAGAAACATATTTTAAGTATTTTAGGTAACGTGTGTATTTTTATTCAGTGCGCCAAAAATCATGGTTTTACGGTAAAAAGTCCTTAACTGGATAGCGCATACTTAACAAATAAATTAATAAATAATCTTACGATGTTGCAAGGCTGACGTTATTTAACGGAATAACGGTACTTACCAACAACGGACAAATGAACCTTAAGCTTAAAACCGAATAAACAACAACAAAAAAGTTAATATGTAAACAAACGGATAACTACGAATGAACAGGATTGTTATATGTACAAATTTTGTATTTACAGATAATTCTTGAGCTAAATATCAACCCATTATAAAAAAACAAACGTTGAGGGTGCAATGTCATCTGTTGACAAACAGCCGTTGATCATGTGACGTAATGGCCTCACGACGTGTCACTCAGACAGGGTTAATGGAAATGTCATTGTCTATAATTGTAAGAAATTAATTAATTAGTTAATTTTATATATATTTATTATTTTTATTTAACAATATTCATTATTTTATTTTTTACTATTAATAATTACTTTCTATCACACTGGCATAAGGTTTGTTCTGTTGTCATATGCTGTAAATTTATTTACTAATTGTTGTATTTTAGGGGCACAAATCTCTGATTGGAAAAATATTACTTGTTAATTGTATTGTAATTTTTTCAGGTGTTTTTGAAAGAGTTTTTTCACAAGTATAATATGTTTCCCCCATTCCCCCAATGTTGTGAAAATGCATGAAATGTACTAAATTCCTACATTAAATTAATGAGACAGATTTTTTATTGAGAGGTCATGTACTAGATACTTGATTTATTTTTCTATTTAATGTTTATTTACAATAAAATTCTTACCTGTCTTATGCAGAATTCTCTTCTGATGTTAGCTGTGGTCCCTTGATCCAGACACTCCTCAGCAACCAGTCTTTGTATGGAATCCACCGTGCTCTATAAAGATCTATTTGTCTCTTCTTCCACTTCCATCAGGTACTTTTTTTTTTTTGGCCAACAATGTTAATCTTATTTTTCAATATGTGATTTAATATCACATTATAACTCATTGCATAATGCCATATTCAATGTTCATTATAAGACTTAAACTGTGTGACAGTTTATGAACATTACTTGAACTAGAGCTGCAAAGTTATATAAAAAGATATTTATTTATTTATTTATGGTTTTGTTTTGTTTGTTTTATATGTAACATTTGGAATTCGTTAAAGTAAATATAAGCTAAGTTAGGATGAAAGATAACTGTAAAAAAACAAAAAACTTTGGTGCCTTTTTTGTTGAATCAAATGTAAAAACCCTGAACCAAAAATTTATATGGCTCCATTTTCTAGGTTAATATACTCATAGTTGATATCAGATATGACTAAAGTGCATGCATCCTTAAGCACAAGTACTCATGGTTAAAATGACAGGTAAACTTTGAAGAACTGGTTATACTTTTGGACTCAAGTGAAAGTAAAGAGATGGCCTCAAAAATGTACACAAGTAAAAAGTATCCAATAACCTATCTTTGCTTTACGCTGGTAAATAGATTGCACATCATATATACATTTATACAAAATAACTTTCATTAAATAAAAAAGAAATTATCTAAAAATGCCCATTCTCAGCAGAAAAGTAGCCAAGCAACAAAGCTCTGCAATATTTGCCAACAGCACTTCTTAAAATGTTGCTCCATCATCTTGGCACAAAAACGCACCAAACAGCTGTTCTTACACACTAATAATTCTGTCTTAAATGTAACGCTTAAATTTGTCAGAAACATTTTTTTTCTTTTGCTGAAATAAATGCTTAACATCTTTTTTTTTTTTTCTTTGCTTTAACCCTCCTTTTGACTTAAGGGTAAAAATGACACTAACACCATTTTAACAGCAAAAAAACTAAAATACCCTAAACAATTTTTTTTTCTGTAATCTATTTCTAAAATGACCTTAACATTAAAAAAAAGATTATTCATTTTCTGTTTTCATTAAGGTATACACATTTATGTAGAACGGTTGTACTTCGGGGTAATTTTGACCCATCAGCTATAAAACAATTTTCACACCACAAAACCTACTGACACACGAACACTCCCAACACACACAATAAGAATCTGCAGTAACACTTTATAACTGCACACTATGCAGTATGCACCATTATATGTACTATTTATGCTTTGTAAGTCCCTTATAAACAACAATTAAAAGCTCAGTTATATTCTTAGGAAAAAATAAACTACTTATTCATTTCTATTAATTTGAAGATACACAAATGAAGCTGTATCAAATGAAATTGCAATCTTAACTAAAATAAAATCATTGTACTGTTGAAACATCGCTAAATAACATTCACATGTTCTATCATAATATATTGTTAAATCATTATATTGTTGTTGTTTTCCCCATTTTTATGTTATATTTGGACACCCCTGATAATTAGTAAAGTTTAAACTTTAGTCATTTTATTTTTTAAATAAAATTGAAATGATTTATTGTTTATTTGATACAATGCCTTTAATTGTTATTTATAAGAGCACACATATAGAGCACACACACACACACATATGTATGTATATATATATATATATATATATATATATATATATATATATATATATATATATATATATATACATGCATACATACACCCACACACACACACAAGTTTATTAATTGTTTAATTATGCAGCTATACCAACTATTTTATATAACTGGTTTGTAAATAATGCAATACTTAATTTAGTAATAAAAAATTAATCATTAACATAGCATGAAAACAAAATCATTAAGCAGATTATACATGTGCTTATAAGTAAAAAAACAGCATTGTAGCTGTATTTATTAACTGATACTAACATCTAATGTAGAGTTGATGTTTATACAACAAATAATGAATTAACTATTTGCTAATGTTTAATAAATGATTCACTGAATTGTGTAGTTATTTTAAAGTGTTACCAAATCTCCTGTTTTAACTTTTATGAATACTGTCTTGCTAAAAACTGTCACACTTGCATAGGTACCTTTAGCATTAAAAATCCACTCTTTACTGTAATCAAAAAGGTGTTGCCCACCGAGTAAACACTGATGAAATACTACACACTGATGAGGGAAAACCTAGACATTTACAGTTTATGATGAAGATATTGTTGTTGTAAATGACTTGAATTTGAAGACTTGAATTTAATTTAACTGCATTAATTTAGAAGTTTAGTAAAGCAAACCCATTTTTGACCCGAAGGGCAAACAGTGGAGACTGAATTCTAGGCAACACAAGGCAAACAGCAGCAGATTTCAGCAGTTCTCGTGTTTGTTTTCTTAGATTTTTGTGGAAATTTTATTTTAAGGGGCTATGGCATTAATGTTTTTAATACATCTATTCAATACAAAAGGCAAACGGTAGCAAAACGGATAAACTACTTTTAAAATTCATTATATACATATAGGCAGTGCTGAAACTTGCAGAAATTTCCTCTGATTGGTCAACCAAATCTGAGCACCTGATATCCCCTCAAAACGATAGTCCTCTGAGTACCAGCACCCATACTTTTAATGATATATATATTAACAGTATTATCAGACATTTGTCATTAAAATAAGATCATAGTTTGCTGACAAAAAAATAAAAATAATATATGCCTATAGTTCACCAATCAAGCAAACCTGGTGCTGCTGGGAAATGGCTATGCTCAGCATCAGGTGCACCGCAACAAAAAGTTTGGTGGTGAACTATAGGCATATATTATTTTTATTTTTTGTCAGTGAACTATGATGATTTTAAAGACATGAACTATGATTTTAATGACAAATGTCTGATAATACTGTTAATTTACATTTTTTTATTACATTTATGCATACGCAATGAATGTAAGCCTGCTAACTGATCAAACAATAGAATATGTAAACTTAGTTTATATATATATATATATATATATATATATATATATATATATATATATATATATATAATTAAATAATAATTAAAAGTCTGGGTGCTGGTACTCAGAGGACTATCGTTTTTAGGGGGCATCAGGAGCTCAGATTTGGTTGAGTCAAAGGAAATTGGCTGTTTCAGCACCGCCTATATGTGTATAATGAATTTAAGTAGTTTATCCGTTTTTCTACCCCCCCCCCCCCCCTCCCCCAAAATGGAAAATCCAGCCAAAAATACTTTTTTTTTGTTTTTTTATAAAAAAAAATTATATTTTTTTAATTATTATTATTATTTTTTTAAACTAGATTCTTTTCAAGACACTTCTATACAGCTTGAAGTGACTTTTAAAGGGTTAACTAGGCAGGTTAGGGTAATTAGGCAAGTTATTGTATAATAATGGTTTTTTCTGTAAATAATCAGAAGGTAATATTGCTTAAGGGGTCTAATAATTTTGACCTTAAAATGGCTGTTAAAAAACATTAAAAACTGTTTTTATTCTTGACGAAATAAAACAAATAAGACTTTTTGCAAAAGAAAAAATATTATCAGACATACTGTAAAAAATGATTGCTCTGTTAAACAAAATTTGGGAAATATTTTAAAAAGAAAAAAAATTCAAAGGGGGGTAATAATTATGACTTCAACTGTATATTGTATTACAGTCCAACTATAAAAGTTTTTGTGTCTCTTTTTATCAGGGTCCAGTGACTACTAGGGGGTCTCTGCAAACTTCCATTGACCACAAGATAAGGATTCACTCAAGGAAGGATTAAATGCCACCATCTCACCCCAACCCTTTGGTGCATCTGCATTGGAAATTATTGGTCAATTTTTGAGTGATGGCCTTTCCACCACCATACCTTTTAAAATAGTAACATATGAATAGTTAATTGTTTTAGGCTGCAGCCATTTATTTTAATTTCCAATAATACATTTTAAACTGAAATTGTATGAAATGCCATGTTATTTTATGTATTGTAAAAAAAAACAAGTTATTCAACACCATTTCAACTAATGTCAAGCAATTTTAGAATGTGACTGTTATGCATAATTACTGCATCCTCCTTACCACACAATTCTTATAACAATTGACATAACAACAGTGCAGTTAAGGTCTGACCATGTCAAAGTTGTATCAACTGCAGCTTTTATACATAAAGTAAATGGGGTTGTTTAAATTGAAACCTTTTTGGAATTATTTATTTTTTGAACTTGAACTGTGCATAGAAAATGCATCAAATAATCAAGCAGTTTGTGGTTTTCCCTGTCTGATGCTTGGACAGTTGTGTGGAACCAGTTTCTCTTCTATGTATTTGATGGTTGTGCTCTTATGTGATGTTAAGAAGAGAATGGAGCACAGTAATTCTAATAACTACATTTTACTAAAATCTATACTTTATAATTTTGTTAAGATTATAATAACAGAAACTGTATAATTAAAGTATAATTACTAAAATTGTTACATGTAAGATTATTGCTATTATATTTATTAATGAATTATATAGTTATATTCAGATGAGTAAATACAGTATGTTTATAAAACCAGAACATATACACACATTATTATTATTATTTATTCCCATAGATGTCAGTGGCTGTTTTTTTTCTCTCCAACATTCTTTAGAATATTATAGTTTTGTTCAACAGAAGAAAGAAACAGAACTTTAGAATTACTTGAGTTTGAGTAAATGATGAGGGAAATTTTCTTTTTTGGTCAATGATCTTATTGAGTTAAAATTAAGTCCCTTGAATTTGCATAAGACTCTATTGTAATTATTTGCCTTATGATCGCTTAACATGTTTTATTTTGTTATGGCATGGGAAAAGCCAAAATTCAGTCAGCAACGTATACAAACTGTTCTGCTTAATTTTAAATGTTTATGTTTCATTCATTGCGGTCAGCTTTTACAACAGTGATGCTAAATGAACAATTATCTGAACATAAAGTGTATCTTAAATAGAGGATTTTTCCTTTTAAAAGCTTTATTAAATAAGTGTTGAAAGTCATGTTCATCATTTAGAATTTTTTGGCACATCTCTACATACAATACAGACACCAAATACATCTGTACATGTTCATAAATTGTATGTGCTCACTGATCAGTGTTGTGGATCCTTTTATAAGAGCCTATTTTTTTCTCTTGTAAATAATAACACTTTAAAATGTCTTTTACCATGATAATTTAAATTATCTTTTCATTTGCAACAATGTATAAACTGCCATAAGTTAGTCTCAATTTCGTGAGGCAGTGTAAATTAAATTAACATTTGTAGAGTGCATTTCCTCCATAGGCTTTTCCTTAAATCAGTAATATTATCAAGGTTTATTTTTGGAATTGTCGGTTTTGGCTTGTTTATTTGAGGTTTAATCATTTTGAACAAAACATATAAAGGGTTAGGTATAATATACCAGTTCAATCCATGGCATGGGTCAAATCTAAATGACACACAGCCTTGGATCCCCCTCGATATAAACCGAACTGTTACTCAAATGATCAAGCTTGTATATTGGACTTAAAATAGCAGCAACCAAAAATGATGTATATACAGTATATTATGCTTTTAGCAAAATAACAGACAGTAAACGTCGACCAATAAAGCAGGTAAGATTACTGCTGTTATTTATTTTTTGCATACGTTTTGTTCAACCTATTGAAGGATCATATAATCTAAAAAATAAAAAGTGCATGATGTGGTCCAAAATGTGTTTGTGTGTGTGTTTGCATGTACGTGCTGTACGTTTTTTCTTATGAAAATTATATTATTTTTTCAAGTTTTCGATGAAATGAACAGTTTGTGATTTGCTATTGCGCCATCTACTGGAACAGCAGTTTCTTTTATTGATAAATTGCAGCTCATTTTTATACTTTACAGAATCATTGTAAAATCATTTGTGGGCCTGATCTGGCCAGCGAGCCGTACGTTTGACACCCCTGCACTAGACTAAACTCAACATTGGCATTAATGAAGGTAAAGAAAATGATTAATGTGGTCACTGTAGAGTTAGAGAAATGGTAGAACGGTATATTATTGTAGAAAATATATGCAAGAGAGGAGGAAATTAATTAAATATTTAAATAATATTGGACATGAAGAGAAACAGAATATACATTAGAGATAAAGGTTAATAACGATATATGATGTATATAGACAAGGTATATATACTGTATATATTAATGTATTCATTTTCCTTCTGATTATTCCCTTATTTATCAGGGGTCGCCACAGTGAAATGAACTGCCAACTATTCCAGTATCCAGTAATCCATGTTTTACACAGCGGATGCCCTTCCAGGTGAAACCTAGTACTGGGGAACACCCACACACACTCACACTTAGACCTTAAGGTTAAATTAAGTGAAGCTGAAGTCAAAACTATAATAAAGATTCAGACAGAGAGTATAAGCCAGGAACACTGGGATATAATTGACTCAGGAAGACATCTGTATACAATCCAATGGTGAATATGTGAAGGAAGAGAAATGGGGAATAATCGGAGGGAGGAAATGGTCATAACCGCCTCAGAATAGCACATACAGGACTAAACAAGATACTGAGTTTATAGTGAAGCACCCACATGACTTATACTCACAATGTAATCAGTGTGAAACATGTGCATGTAATAACAGAATGTCAAGATTATCAATACAAAAGAAAAATATTAAGAAAAGTATTTGTCAACATATGGAGGCTACAATAATTCCCCTTTATTTATTTAAGCAGCAATGTTTTCCCTTGGTTTTATAGTGTGGTTTGTTTTTCTCGTGTTTCTCTCCATGTCAGACTCCTGTTTCGCACTCCAGTCCAGCAGGTGGCGGTAAAGCGCATTTAAGTTTGACAACCGCCAAAATACTGAAGAAGTTGACAAACCGAAAGCGTCAAAGAGCTCACATCGTGTTCCTGCTGCACAAGAGCGTCTGTACTTCTGCATGTGAGTTTAACACTTCTACATTAGGCTGATTTGTGGAGATGATGAAGGGTTTATATGTGTAAGCGTGTTTATAAGCGTGATTTATAGCACTGTCTGCTCCTGAAGCTCAAAGGAACACCGATTAAACACGTCCAAACACGGTCATTTGAACAATATAATGGGTTATTTTCTATCTCTTAAAAGTGTTTGTGCTCTTCTGTATCAGGTTGACTCGAAAATTTCACATCATTTAGCACAAAATAAACTTTAAACAGTCAGGAAATCGAAAGTGAAAGCAGAGCTTCCGTTAACCGGAAGAGTGCGGATGATCCTTAAACTGCAATTGTCCCCATCATTTCTTCCTCAAGCAAATGTGTAAATATTAGATCTGTTCAACATTAATGTTAATTGTATTGGCATATTTATCTGACGTTTTCCCAGCTTGCAGTAGTCGATCAAAAAGCTGTTTAGTTTCTTATGACTGAATGTACACTAGCAGTGGAATTTACTGCGATGTGAAGGGGCGCCCCCTGAAATCTTGCCTAGGGCGCCAAATGGTTGGGTTACCTGCTGGTAACGTTTCAATACTAACCAGGGGCGTTGCGGGGCTTAAGCCCCTGATGTATTGTCAAAAGCCCCTGATCTTTTGGAATATGTTGCACTTAAATAAAAATAGGTTGTATAACATTTATTTTGTTATCAAAGTTCTAACAACACGTGTGTATCACGCGTATTCTACCTAAAGCAGCGTTTGTGTCGGGTATTTAAAAAGTAATCTATTCAGCAGTACCTGTTTCTACCAGCAGGTGGGAGTGGCTCTGTTGTTACATGGTTTAAAAATATTCCGCCACTGCACATCATTCATTATTTTGAGCAGCTGAAGCTGATGAGGTTATAATACAACTGTTTCGCAAAACTGAATAGTTCTAGCTAAGTTACAGATGAAGCTTAATATTTGTTTTTACAGCAAAAAATTTGTGTAATTTTGGTGAAATAACATAAATTTAGGTAATCAATAAAATGTTCTGCACATTAATGTAAATACATGCAAATTAGTCAGAAAAATGTAAATTGTACTTATATATATATATATATATATATATATAGATTAATTGTAAAAAGTGCAGGAGCTTGACCAACATTCATTTCTTACAGTCTAATGTCTAAATAATACAACAACTATGTGGTTAAATTAAAAAGTCTTAAACTTTATTTATTTGTTTTATTTTGATGTCTCAAAGGCACTTAGTGATAATGACCTCTAAAGACGTTTTTTTTTAAGTTGTTTTAAAATGTTTAGATTAAATGTTTTGATCAACTTCCAATACTGAACATCTGTGATTGTGTGTGCGTGTGTGTGTGTGAGAGAGAGAAAGAGAGAGAGAGAGAGAGAGAGAGAGAGAGAGAGCAAGTGTCAAGTAGAAAACTAGGGAGAGAAATGTTTGAACAAGTCATGACTGCAACAGTAAGTGGCAAAAAACTAAAAACAAAAGACTTTTATTTTGGCGTGGCGTGTGACGTCATTAGGCTGCGCTGCTCTTGCGCTTGATTCAGCTGGAGAAAGGTTTGTTTTTAAAACCTTTACATAAATATAAAGCGATTGAATAAAGTTTCAGGGTTTTCATCCGATGTTATATTATGAACCTGCTGTTGGCATTATTTTGACTCTTTTTACAACGAAGTACAATTTACTCACAGTAATTAGGGCTATTGTTTGAATAAAGCAACAGAAATGTGAGTAATAAGTGTTTTAATTAAGGTTTAATTTATTAAAAGCATAATGTCATTCCATTCTAAGGACAAATCACTATATATAAGAAATGGAGTACTAGTTTTAATCAGCTCATTGTGTCTTGCTCAGACTTACCTGATTTATTTTTGTTAATGACTCTCATATGAAACTGTTAAAGCAAGTAATGAAGAGAAGTTATTTTGATTCTGTTCATTGTTTTATTTATTTTAATCAGGACGTTTTTAATGTTTTTATTTTTTTAAACAGGATAAAGTGTCCAAACGCAGAGAAAAACTGCTGAAGTGACTGATCTCCACACTGTTATAAAGATGGCATTTATTAAAGAGGAGAGTGAAGATGTGAAGATTGAAGAAACATTCACAGTCAAACAGGAAGATCTGCAGGAACAAACAGGTTGGTTTTAATTCTCCAAGACCAACTCAGTCATTTGATCCTCATTCAGATATATTTTAATAAGAAGAATACTAAATTAATCCATCTTGCAGCCCTGAGTGTGCTGCCTAGTTCTCCTAAATGCACATAAGCACTCATTTAAAGACAGAATGAGTTTCATCACTTGTTCTTATTTATGTCATACTTGTTATGTATTATTCGTCTCCTATTTTCACTACCTTCTTAAGGTTATTGCTTTTCTTGTTCTCTTTGTTTGTTAAGTGTCCTTGAGCACTGGCGCTATATAAAATAAATAAAAACAAAAAATTAAAAAGGTTTAATTGAGCTGACAATATTTGACCTACAGTATTCTCATAGAAGATATCTGCTATTACAGTGATTGTGTTGGCTTAGTACTTTCCATTTGCAAATGTCACATTGATCACAATTCCCTTTTTTTATCAACTTCTTTATGGGTTTAAACTTGTTTTTGTAGTTGTTACTAGTTCTCACAGATATTATCTTAGTTTGACCTACATTATTATAATAACTAATTACCTGGGCTATTGTGTTTAAACAGGGTTTCCGCTGGGTATTAAAATGTCTTAAATTCCAAAATAAAAAATTTAGGCCTTAAAAAAAACTTATATTTACTAAAATATTGTGCTGTATGTCTTAAATCTTTTTAAACAAGTCTTGATTTTCCTGTGTTCATGTTTTGTTACCCAATCTGGCCAAAACCCATACAATCACCAACAAGACATTTTAACTCTGTTTATCATAATGATAAGGACTGCTGAGGATATCGACCTGGACAAATTGTTGTGCATAGATTTAGTTTAATATAGTTTTTAAAACTTTTGAAACATTTGTTATTTGTTTTTTTTTATTTTAAAGAAAGTTTATTTTGGGGAAAAAAAGTGTGTGGATCCAAGTAGAGCTCTCTTCTTTTTACACAATATTTAAGATCTTTTGCTAAGAAATATCTAAAATATTTTAATGTTATTATTATTATTAATGTTATTATTTATTATTGTATTATTAAATATTTTATATTAAAATATTTTTTGTTTGGACATATAAAAATCTTTTTCATCTGGGCCAGTTGAAAAATTCCTTAGTCTAAAATTTCATTCATAATGGTCTTAAAAAGTCTTACATTTAACTTGGTGACACCTGTAGAAACCCTGATTTAAAGTATGTCAAAAAACGTGGAGGCCCTAATTTTAAATATGCTGAATGAAATGGACACCAAAATAATAAATTATTATAAAACATTGTACAGTTTTCTAAACTATATGATGTTGTGGGACGATGTGAGACAAAACTAATTAAAGTGAAACAGTAACGTTTAGCATTGCACTGACTACAACTGGCCAACAAACTAGTCTAAAAAATACTTTTGCTGCTTAGGAAATGGATTACAGCATGCTGATGATATGCAAACATTTGAGTGTAAAGTTCATCAGTATTGACCATATTCTTCACGTACCAGCAGGTGTCGCCATTGGAATCTTTTTGCTTTTTAAAGAATACATTTTTAGATCCTAAAAACAGCGTTAATATAATAAGCCAAGACTGACATGCAATGTGTTGAACACCTGCAATGTTTTTTCAGCAATTCATAAAAATACTGCATATGAACTGTCTATTGATTTATACAAATAAAAACCATTTATTAATAATAATATAACAATTAATTAATCATTTATTTATAATATAATACACCTTTACTAATTGTGCTTGTGCATTTTTTTGTTTATTTGTTAATGTTATCTCACAGATGAAAAGAGAACAGAATATTTGTACTCAAGTTATAATACACTGCTAAAATAATACAAGTTTTAGTAAATGATACTAATATTTTACAAATTACTCTAAAAAACTACTCTGAGTACTAGTTAATTACTTTTGAAAAAAAAAATTTTTTTCATTATGGCCCTTTTTTAATTATACAATTATTTAAATTGTTTAATTGTTTAAATCACAAGGCTACATATAGGTATTTGCATTAACAAAGTATGGTCTATTTTTTTCTGTACATGACAATGAATCATTTTCAATAGCACTGGCAAAACTACCACATACTTTTAAGGCCATAGAGACACTTTTTGTCCATTTTTAAACAATACTTTCAGGCTTTTAAATGTTTAAAGTATATGATGAAAATATTTAAACTTGGGTTTTTATTTACATATTTTACACTGTTTTTCTTAATTGCTTGTTGTCTATACAATATTTTATTTTACGCTTGATCCTAAACTGAAATAATTTTACAAAAAAGACAAGAACACTGTCGGTAATAAAATAAGAAAAACAAATTACTTGGTTTCTGACAACACTACATTTCTCAAAGCAGTGCTTTAATATTGTTTATTTTGGTAAATGTAACAGATTGCTTTGACCTGTAATGCCTGTACAAATTGTTGATGCTTTAAGACAGATCAGAACACCCCTATTATGTATAAATCACATAAATACCTCATCCAGAAACATTTCTAGCATAATTCTTTTGCCGTAAAGAAATAAAAAGTTTCACCTTTGCTAAAAGTTATGGTAGGCTAAGTTTCACATCACAGTACAGCCAAGTAAGTGCGTTAGCATTGTCACCGGTCATGCATCAATCTAATTCTAAATACTTGAAAGTTTTTGAGTAAGTTTAGTCAAGGAGCAAAGATAAATAATTTCTACTTCTGAGAGATCACAATTGTATATAGTCTGAGCACACACACGCGATGATGAGATCATGAGAGGACTTGCAGTTCATTTGAAAAAGCCTATTTAAGGGCTCGGATATCCAGTTTTGGCGATTAACTACATGACTGCACTCTCGTGTTAAAATAAAGCACTTGCGACATTTGCAGAAATGAATAATTGCGCATTACCTGCAGCTCGCGCCGACACTCTTAGAGCCTACTCACACTATGCTATCCAAACCGTGCCCAGGCCTGTTTGCCTGATCGTTTGAGAAGTGTGAGTGTGCTGAATCGGGCTCAGGCACAGTTCACTTGGGCTTTGGCGTGGTACGCTTGTGTGTGAGTGCAAAACGCGCCTAAGCCAGAAACTGAAAGCAAGACGTTTCTTTTAAGAGACTATTTCATATGTATTAATTAATCATTCTTACCGTTCAATGAATGCAAACTGTTGTAGTTTATTAAAGACGCAAACTCCTCAATGCACCACAGCTGTGCCTTTTGCAAACCTCCTAATTCCTGCAGCACGAGGACTTTATGACTGTTTATGAGCGTCAAAATTGGCGGATCTGTTCTGCAAAATATTTGATTGTGTAACACTGCATCCCAAACGACTAAAACAACATAACTAGAGAAGTCTCCACTGTGCTGAGCGAGAGCACTTCTCTACTGAACAGTGCATCATCGATATTGTAAGCGTGCCCTGGCCTGAATGGAGGACAAGCGTGCTTTGGCCTAGTTCAAAGCAACTGTACATAGTGTGAGTATGCTCTCAGATTGTATTAAACTAGGCTTCAGAAGAGTGATAGGTTAGAGGCGAGTAAAATCCGTCGGAGAGAATGAAAAATGGCAGGATGTCCGCGGCTTAATTACTCTTGTGAATAACATAGACATCTCTATAGTAAAAACACCCAAAAAGCATTATTTCAATAATGCATTTGTTTTTAAGTTGTTGTTTTCTGTCACTGGAACACAGAAAGGCCTTTGTCCCGCCCTTACGTTCAACGCAAAACTAGACAAGGTCGACTGAGATTGGTCACTTTTCATGTCAGTCAAATCATCGCTTCGAAATCCTGGTATATTTTATATTGGTATATTGAGAACCACTGCTGAAGGAGATAATCTATACCCACACAGCATCGAAGGCCTGCACCTTCCCACAACAGCATCTCAGTAACAACTCCAACTCCACAATTACAGCAAAACCAAGTCATCCTCCTACCCATGAGTTCATACCACAACAGCTAATTTTATCAAGCACCCTTGGAGCTTGGTCTGGAAAAGCCATAATCGACACTGGAGCCAGCTATACCCTACTTTACGAACATTTGAGGTCAGCACTTGCTTCCCTTGATGTTCTTCATCAATGGCCCCATGGTCTCCTCTACTTTGCTAATAGTGAGACCGCCATACCTTTAGGACGGGCAAAAACAAATGTCATTCTTTACAATATGTTTTTTTCCTATTCCATTTGCTATCCTCCCTTCCACAGCTCTCACTTATTTATTTATTTCAGAAAAAAACATACCTGCACCAGAAGAAAAAAAGTGCACAGAAAAAACTCAAGCCAAGCTCTTTCGTTGTTTACCTCAATTCTCCCACCACAAAGTCTATTCTAGTTACCAGATAATAAAGATGACAAGACAATAATAAAAGCAATAGTTGATCAAACTTACCTGCATCCAGAAGAAAAGTGCCAGTTACATCATCTACTTCTGCAGAATCCACAAGTACGTACCTCCCAGCTTGGAAGAACAACTGTTCTACAGCACTGCTTGTATACTGACTACCCTGTGCTGATCAGACAACATCCATACCGTTTAAAACCAGAGAAGCAAGAGATTGTTAAAGAGCAAGTCAAAGAAATGCTAATGAATGGCCTCACAGAACCTACACACTTAGCGTGGGCCTCACGCATTAGCTGCATTTCCCCTATCACGCCTAAAGCGAGCGAGCCAAGGCCAGTGACTTTTCCACTGTCACTTCCGGGGCTTAATCGGGCTAAAGCGGGGCTTTCTTGGGGCCAGCGGCCAGCCTTTTTCGGTCCGCCAAATACCTTGGGCCAAGGAGAGCCAGCTGGGGCTTCGGGGCGGAGTGAAAGGAGAGGCGGGCAGTTTTCTGATCGCACATGAGTACATGCACCAAACAAATAAAGAAATAAGGGAAAGAAAACATCTGGCCTTATAGTCTGGGGTCTTTTTGCGTATGATCACCCTTAT